GCTCTGAGATGCCAACTGTCACGATATTGGGTGTTTCCACCAGATTAGATTTCAGAAAATAGAGGATTGAGAAAAAAGAAGGGCAGAATAGGATGAATTAAGCAGGTTTTGAGAGAGAGATAGTGAAGGAAAATGATTTCTGATGTTTTTCATTGATATCCGAATGACAGCCAAGATTCCCTTTTTTTACACTGTTAATTTAGCTAACCGACAAAATACGCAACTTTCAGGAAACTACATCTGGACAAGGTAATTTCAGCGAAGCTTCCTAAATTTATAATTAGACTAATAATAGATAAATATACGTGACAGTGTGCTGAGTCCACCTCCGTCATCCGGGCCTGACTACAATATCCAATTCCAACCCAAGGTTTATAAACAAGGACTTTCATGTTGCACTTCTTCGATGTGGGACTCCGTCCGCATAATATTAAATTGACAAACAGACATCGAATCCGGCGCCCCGCTCTTCACTGTCAATTTCTCAAATTTTTCTGCATCACCCTTTTCTCGTTCTTTGGCTGCTTGCTATTGAGTATTGACCCACCAACCCCATTATCAAGTAGCGCTCCATATTTTAACCATAGGCGGCAGCTTCTGTTCGGAGGCACAAGGCATTAACCCAATTTTGAGGTGGGACTTTTGTGTTTGAGTTTTCATTTATTTATTTGCAATTCATGTAGAATTTAGTAACCTTTTCATAAACAAATTGTTTTTTTTCCCCTTTCCTTCATAAATTGTAGTGAAAGAAAAGTAATTTTGCTCATAATTTATGGTCAATCCGTTTATTTGCCAAAATGAAACTAAGAGCATGATGATATGCAAAACAAGTACAAAAGTACTATAGTATAGAATACAAATAGATCCATTAGAATCAAACATAAGCTATTCTATGCTCTTTATTTTAATATGTAATTGGCCGGCCGTGCAAATATTTCATCATAACAAAATTCTCTTAATCATTCAATTATTCTAAAATTAATTTTCTTTTCCAGCATTTATTCCTAATATATGTACACCAAAATCCTACTTAATATATTCTCAACATGCAAGTTATAATTTTATTGTTCTACATAAAATGAAACCTAAATCTACTAAATTTATCTATTGAACATCAAGAAAATGGAAAAAACACTAGTTTATCAATCATCCAACCTTTATATATATATATATATATATATATATATGTATATATCTTTTTCTCCACTCCTCTCTCGCCTTGTTCTATCTTTCTTTTTTTCTCCATTTAGTACATTTTGCTCGAAATATGAGATTATGAGGTTAGCTAGCTTTGGGTTATGGAGATTAAAGGTGACCGTAAGGGAAGTAGCAATTTGAGCGGAGGGAGTTTTGGTAATGAGAAAGAAAATTAATAAATGTGCTGGTGCGTGCGCCTGATGCAGGGGAAATGAGGGAGTTGAGAGGAAGTGTTCCTGAGAGTGATTAGGGCTTGTTTGGAAGTCATCTTATATTTTATTTTGCCACTTAAAAGTGGAAAGTGTTTCAAGTTGAAAACTAAATGAAAAATGAAAATGTTATTTAGATGATATTTCGAGCAAAAAGTTGTTTGGATATTGGTTTTGAAAAAAATATTTTGAACTATATTTTAAAATATCAAGTACGAATCATCGTTAAATAATTAATGCTATTAATTATAAGTCACTTTAAAAAGAACTTTTAAAAAACAATCACTAAACAACGAAAACCTAGCAAATTTGTCACTCTAAGATTTTCCTTTGTTAGATTTCGTCATTAAACTACTTCTTTTTCAAAAATGGTCATTACACTAACAAAAAGTATTTCAAGTTGGAATTTAAAATGTAAATCAGAAAGTTGTTTGGATGAAGTTTTCTTTTCCATTAGATTTTGTGCTTAAAATGTAAAATGAGTTAAAATGTAAAATGAGTTTACAAACAAACAAGCACTAAGTAAGCCGGTCAAAGTAAGAGGAAAGAGTGGGAAGCTTTCAGTTAAAAATTATTCACCTCAAAATCATTCAACTGATATGAGTAGGTTTGATGTAATTCAATTGGGTGTTTGCAAGGTGAGGCTCGTGATTATAATTTTCATTTAGTTAGGCAATTCTCTAGTTTTTTAGCTAGAGTTAGCTAATTAGACATTCTAATTTAGTTTGTTTCTCACTGTAGAGCTGCTTAAATTTGTAATTGTATTTAATTGTTCGTGTGTTTTTTCGTCCAATGATTTGACTGATAACAGTTAAAATTGAAAATGGTTTTGGGGAGAAGAAGGATAAGAATAACTAAATTTTATTTCCGTAAAATTTAATTACAAGTTAAAGGATTAATATTGCGAATTGTTACCATGTTTCTCATCTCATTATCACACCTCATGCGTCAAGTTTTAATTTGTCATGTTTTGATTGAACGGTCAATTCAAAATGATCAACTGGATCATAGAATTTTTCTCCTCTTAATAATAATAATAATGTACTATAATCTATACATAATTATACGTTAAACATATGAATCGCAATTTCATGTATCTGATTAAGGTACTTGACTCAATAATTTTTCTTGTAGGGGAGAGGTCGGGAGAAGGGGTCTCACATCTGCAAATATGCAAAGCACTAATTAAACAGTATTGGTCATTATGACATAACATGACATGATATTGTAGGACTTCACTACAAATAATTACAGATAAAAATATTTATGAGAAAAAACATCTCTTTCGTTTGAATTTTATTTTTATATAAAAAAGTCCTTAAACATTATTAATAGTGACAGTATTCGTTGCCCACTAGATTTTGATTATTTTTGGATTTTTCGTTCTCAGTTTTGGGTATTCTTACTAGAGACATTGCTATTTTGGAGATATATATAGTAAATGATCTATTAGAGTAACCTAAAATTATTTTTATATATATTATTATCAGAAAAAGAAAATGCAATACACATGTATAATTTTAAGAGACGAAATCCTTTTTGAAAACTAATTGGGAGGAAAAAAAAATTGAATATAATCTAGAATATGAACCAAATTTTAAAAATATAAAAAATAAAAAGAGGGGTCATTTAAGACAAGCCCTGGACATGTCAAGAATGATGGACCGGACTTGTTTCACAACCCATATTAATTTTGACTACACGTTTCTAGCGGGGAAACTTTGAAGGAAGGGTGTACTTAGTCCACCTCCATCATCCGGGCCGTATTGCAATCTCGAAGCCCAGGTTAATAAAGGAGGATATCATGCTGCAAGACGTCGATGTGGGACTCCGTGCACTAAATATTAAATGATTAAAATCAGTCATCGAATGATTGAATCCGGTGCCAGTCACTTTTCACAAATTTCTGAACCCATAACCCCATCACCCCGTGGTTGTTTGGCGGCTTGATATTGACCGTTTAAGAGATGGGCCTAAGAGATTAGATACAAAGACATTTTATTAAAAAGTGTTGTTGCTCCAATTATCTGTGTTCTCAGCTAGGAAAATAAAAAAATAAAATAAAAAAGCAATTAGGGATATATCAGAATGTCTGGCGTAGCTTAATTAGGGACAGTGATGATGAAATTATTGTCATACATTCATGTTGAATGTTAGTAAGTGAATTTCTACATGAATGTTAGTTGTAACATACGAGTTCTTTCTTATTTATGTGCACGGTTCCAGCAATTCAAATTGGGATGAAAGGATCATATGAGTGAAAAAATGCAAAGGCACTAATATTTTTTGTTTCGATCAAGAATTTTGGAATCACATGCTCTCTCTAACTTAGAGTTTGAAGTAGTATTTCCATCGTATAAGACTTAAAAATATGATGATGTTATTTTGAGAAAATATACCAAATAATATATAGTAGTGTAGGAACAACCTAAAACAATTATAAAAAAAACAAAAAAAAAACGCAATTCACAAAAAAATCATTTTTGAATCTTAATGAGTAAAAAGAAAAAGAAAATTGAATAGAAAATGTTGACAACAAAGTGTAGAATCTAGGCCAAATAAAAAAGAGCAGCTACCTTTACTAATCCTTTTTCCCGTCAAGATCGATAGACCGACCCGTTCACACTCATATTGATTTTGGGCTACAATTTTTCAAGCCCGAGACTTTTGAAAGGAGTATGTGCTAAGTCCACCTCCGTCATCCGGGTCGAACAGTAGTCTCCAATCCCAGGTTTATAAACAAGAACATCATGACGCAATTCTTGGACGTGGGACTCCATGCTGCCTAATAGTAGTATTTTTCTTTTTTGTAAATATGCAGTGGAACCGTGTTGCCTAATATTAAATGCCTTGACCATGACATCGAATCTGGTGCCCCGCACTTCATAGTCAATTATCAAAATTTTCCAATGAACCGTATCACCCTCCCTTTTTGTCCTTTTGGATTGGTGGCTTGGCTGCTTCGGTGCTTCCTATTGACCTCCACCGTTTTATTTTGGCTTGGCTGTTTCTTATTCAAAATATTTAAATAATAACTGTTATATCTCAACATATTTTTTTACATTTCTAATACACTTTTTTTTATTATTAATATTATATTTTTTTATATACAAAATCTCTATTTTTCGAATTGGCACGGAACCATTAAATTAGGGAAAATGCACGGAACGATCAAAATAAACTCTCTATTTTTGTTTTGATAATGACTTTTGAAATCACACTCTAATTTGGAGTTTGAACTAATGTCTCCACCGTATAATATTTGGAACTAATGATAATCAATTTTAATCATTCCATTCCCTATATGAGCTGGTAGTACTTGTCTCCTCCTCATCAAAATTTCAAATTAGAGAAAAAAAACTATTATTAAAAACAGAACCATTTATTAAGTGAAATTTGAAAATAATGAATATTTGTGCATTTTCTTTTATATAACCATTTATTAAAAACAGAACCAATACCAATAATGTTTCCAATATTTCCTTACTTTTTTTTTGCTTTTCAAATTCCATACAAGTATTACGTGTGAGACTTCAGCTACTATAAAATGACGAGATTAATTCCATTTCTTTATTTACACCTCTCAGAATCATTCTCAAAGGGTCAGTTTTGGAATTTGGTCAGACAGCTCAACCGCCTCTCCAAAACTGCCGTCTCTTTTTCCCCTCTTTTCATTCCCGCCAAAACACACACACACACACACACACAGTCACGCACTTCCGCTCTCTGCTGCTCAACAATGGAGTCCACTAGAAACCTCCCATCCATCTTGATTCTGGCCACCATCGTCTTTCTTCGCGCAACAGCCGATCAAGCTTCTTTTGAAGATACGGCCTACCCTAATTACTTGAAATTGTCTTTCATCAGCCCAGCAAATTCACCGTCTGAATCCCATACTGACAAAAAGGGGATCTTCACTGCAGCCAATCCGCCTAATATACCACCGGTTTCTTCTCTCCATGGGAGAGGAGTCCCTGCGTTGTTCGTGATTGGGGATTCTTCCGTTGATTGTGGGACCAATAACTTTCTTGGGACGTTCGCTCGTGCTGATAGGCTGCCGTACGGAAGGGACTTCGACACTCATCAGCCCACTGGACGTTTCTGCAATGGAAGGATTCCTGTCGACTATTTAGGTAATTCTTGATGAATTTTTCTGTGTTCTTGGTAAAATAATTGTGGGATTGAAGAAAATGTTGAATCAAGGCGTTCGGCTTTCAGTTGCTTGCATATAGGTTTTGGGACTGAAATTTGTGAACAAAGAATCGGTTTCCATTCTTTCACGTTTTCTTGGTTAGTTGGGTAGGGAATTTAATTTTTCCTCTGTCGTTCTTGAAGAATGGAGTTTAATGAATTTTGATGCTTAATTTGGGCTAATTCGTTATGGATTTAGGGCTGAAATGAGTGAATGAATGAATGTCGGGATCTTGAATTGGAAATGGAAAGAATTGGGGGTGTTCAAGCAAGAAGTTTTTCTTTTCTTGTTTAATTACTAGTAAAGTGTTTATTCCATTTGGCTGTTCTTGAAGAATAGATGGAATTTAGGTTAAATTTTCATGGTTAATTTGCAGCATTGCGTCTTGGGTTGCCATTTATTCCAAGCTACTTAGGGCAGGCTGGTTCTGCTGATGATATGGTTGGAGGAGTGAATTATGCATCTGCTGGTGCTGGTATAATTTACTCAAGTGGCTCTGAACTGGTGGGTTCTCTTCTTCCCACTTCCTTTTAGGTTGTTGGCTGTACAGAAAGATCTAGTTAAAACTTGTTCATTTTGTGGATAGCCATCAATGAAATAAAGAAGTAACTTGAGAGATAGCACTTTCTGGTCTGGTTTTCTAAGGTTTACGGAATGATTTTGTAGTTCTGTTACTCTTGCATTATTAGCATGCCGACATAATGTATCTTATGTGAATCTCTTACATCCTCAGTCATGAATTCTACTGTGCTCTCACAGAAAGATTGCATGAGCATTGTAGTATGTCCTTTTGATGTATCCTTCAAAATTTCCATCAGATTCTTGCATTTGGTTGTAGTATTCTGCTCTGGAAGTCCTTATTTTCTGCTTTCTTGAAACTTTCACCAGGGTCAACATATCTCCCTAAGTCAACAAATTCAGCAAGTCTACGACACGATTCAACAGTTTGTATTGAACTTTGGGGAGGAATTAACAACTGAGCTAATCTCAAAGTCAATATTCTACATTTCTATCGGCAGCAATGACTACATACATTACTATCTTCGTAATGTATCTAATGTGCAGTCCCTGTACCTACCCTGGGGTTTCAACCAGTTCTTGGTAGAAACAGTGAAGCAGGAAATAAAGGTATATCAAAAGATTTTGTTATGATTTGTGGTCCTTGGATTCTATTCGCCTACTGTTTTAATTGAATGTCTCTTGAAGAAAAATGTTTTATATATGAAGTTCTGAACCAGAATTGCTCTTCTGTACTCACCATATCTTAAGGGGGGAAGAGATAATGTTAATAATTATCTGGCCGATTGATATAGGCTAGCGAAGACTAATCATGTGGAACAACATCATCTAGCTTTCTGTTTGTCATTTTCATAATCTTGTTGGTTAAGCTTATAACAAGTTTCCTTTCCCTTATTCGACTGTCTGGTGTTTGATACATTTCTGGAGCTGTCTCATAAAATCAACTGACATGCGTTGTTTTAATGAGCAGAATTTGTACAATGCTAATGTCAGAAAAGTGGTTGTGATGGGACTGGCACCTTTAGGCTGTGCTCCTTACTATCTGTGGATGTATCATAGCAGAAATGGGAGGTGTGTTGAGAAAATAAATGAAATGATAGTTGAATTCAACTTTGGAATGAGATACATGGTAGAGGAACTGAACCAGGAGCTACCCGATTCCAACATAATATTCTGTGATGCATACGAGGCTTCAATGGACATAATCAAGAAGCATAAAGATTATGGTGAGATAAGTTTTACTTCAAAAAGTTCAGTTTACTGAAGTGGGTGGTTACCATTTTGTCTGATGCTCTGTTGTGGTAATAGGTTTCTCCACGACCATGAATGCTTGCTGTGGATTAGGGAGATATCGGGGTTGGATCACCTGCCTTTCACCTGATATGGCGTGCAGGAACGCTTCTAATCATATTTGGTGGGATCAATTTCATCCAACTGATGGAGTAAATGCTATACTGGCTGACAATGTTTGGTCTGGATTACACACAAAGATATGCTACCCCATGAACATGAAGGACATGGTTGCTCAAGCGCAAAATGATTAAGACATGGAAGGCTAGAATCTGTTACTTTGTAAAGTTCCTGGTTGTATAGAAGTCGCATCAAGCACACGGATAGTTGTAGCCTCTTGGCTTCTAGTTAATAGTGTACTGCAGAAGAAGCAGAACTGTAGTTTGCACAGCTAATAGCTGGAAGTACACAGCAGTACTGCAAACAGTTTTGGGGTTCTTAACGATGTCTTATTTTTCTTTCCACAAAAACAACAAACAAAATTAGTTCCTATCAAAAGTGAGCAGATTCCAGCATCATAATTCAGAGAAATTCGACGATACAGAGAGGGAAATCTCATAGGAAATTTTTTTACTTCCCTTTGTGTTCTGTAGGTAAGAGGCTTGAAATACAATTGGAGACTTTGGTATTTTGGAGATGTAATTCACAAAAATACAAAAAATAAGAAAAGAAAAATAAGACTTTTAAACAAATTTGACAAGGATTTCAAATGCCCGGAAGACAACAAAAGCTGATTAAACACTTAAAAGGATCCTTTACCACTAAATCATGGAGTTGTTAATTGATTACAAATCGAATCCTAGCTTGTTTCTGCTTCGATGAACATGAAGTTCATTCGTTTCGTCCCTGACTTGTAATAGGATTATGATTTATACATTAACTTCAAATCCAACTCGGTTTCAACGTTTTATCTTTCTCCTATAAATATGATCACCACCATCCCAGCTTTCCAACATACGAAACATTCATCAATCAAAACCCTTTGTTTGTCTTTGTGCGTGCTTCTTAATTCTTAGTCGTTCAACAATGGCTACGAACATTCGTGCCAAAAACCAGTCTTCTGTAGGCTTGTTCTGCTTCATGGTTTTGCTTCTTCTCCAATCCCATGTGAACAGTGCCCGGAAGTTGCTGCCTGATCCTCCTGTTACACACAATGCCTCCAAGCACAGTTGCAAGTTCGTCAAGGTTTTTCAGCTCGGCGACTCGCTCGCTGATACCGGAAATCTAGTTACCGAAAGCCCACGCGGCGGTGGGGCTTTGTTCAATCACTTTCCATACGGAATCACATTGGGAAAATCCACCGGAAGATGTTCAAATGGTCTTCTCATGATCGACTATTTTGGTACGTTTAGTTTTTAATCTCAACTTTTATGTGTTATTAGTAATGTTGGATTATAAGTACTACTTTGATATATAAGAACACTTTATTTAACTGCAATTCCCCGTTCTGATTTCTTTTGTTTGGTAATATTGTAGCCTCAGAATTTGGTGTTCCATACCTGAGTCCTTACGAAAGAGTAGAAGACGGTGCGAATTTTGATCGTGGAGTCAACTTTGCTGTCGCCGGCGCTACCGCACTGCCATTGGAGACCTTGAGAGCTAAGAATTTCCCCCTTGGCTACATTCCAACCGGTAGCTCGCTCGGCGTACAGTTGCAATGGCTGTCTTCTCACTTAAACTATACATGCCAAAGCAGAGGAGAAGAATGTCAGGAAGAATTGAAAAATTCTCTGTTTTTGGTTGGAGAGATCGGTGGCAACGATTACAATTATGGAATTGTTGGAAACAAATCCATGGCAGAGTTGTATGGTTTGATCCCAGAAGTGGTTCAAACTATTGTGGATGCTGTTAAGGTAAGATTTTCTTTTGCCTTTCCCTTAATTGTCAATTTACAGACTATATAGTATTGATTTGATCTTGTTTGTTGATGAGTTTTTGTCTCTCTGTCAACTATTTGTTTTTGCAGGCCGTGATTGGCTTAGGAGCAACTAGAGTTGTTGTTCCTGGAAATTTTCCCATTGGTTGTCTTCCTGTTTACCGGGACAATCCTATAGATGGTTCGGGAGGATACGATTCAAAGCAGTGTTTGGCGGGACTAAACCGCCTAGCCATCGCTCACAACGAGGTTCTGAAAGAAGCCATTGAACAATTGAAGAAGGAATATCCCGACACTGCCATTGTCTATGCTGATTATTACAATGCCTTCTTGTCAGTCCTAACTAATGCCGAAAACCTTGGTTTTGCCGACAAGTTTTCGCCTTGTTGTGGAAAAGCAGAGGCACGCAATCCTTCGGCATTCTGTGGGGCGCCTGGAGTTACTTCTTCTTGCCCAAATCCAGACGATCATATCAGTTGGGATGGAGTTCACATGACTCAACAAGCATACAAGTTCATGGCCGACTATCTGATCACATCCATCTCTCCACAGTTAAACTGTAGTTAGAATTGTTTATATGGTCATAAACTCCATTCTCTATTAGGATTTAAGGCAATTTGTTTCGTTAGTAGTAGTAGTTTTTGATTAATTGATTTCTATGATCAGACAGACATCTCTGGTAGGATTTAAGGTCAATTTATTTTTGTTGGTCAGTTTTCATTCTCAAGTACTTGATGCTAGTTTACATTGCCCTTGTGAAGTTAAATCGAAGTTGTTACTTGCATTATGTTTTTCCCTGTTTCCTCCTCTGGAATTGGCACTCAAACTAAAACTAATGTACAGAAAGTAATGAAACGAAGAATACAAGTTCAATGCCCGAAGAACCATTACTACTTCATGTATTTTACCTTTTACTTTAGTACCGTTAATTTGTTGGATTGGGACAGATTGATTTCTTTCCGCAAACAGTTGGTTCAATGTAGTTTGATTGATTTCTTTCCGCAAACAATGATCAGAAATCCTTACTTTAAACTCAGTATAAAACTTCATCAAAAACCAGTTCAGAATAAACAATCAGAAATTCTCACACAGTTGAGAAAGCATTGTGCCCCCTACTTCTCCTCAAAGCTCTCTTAGTCATAAGCATTTGAGGGGAGGACAACGTTTCTTTTACATCAAATTATGCTTTTTTAGTACAAAATTAGCTAAAGAAGTAAGCATCAATCAGAAGAACTAAGGACAAATACCAACCAAGACAGTTGCAGCATTCAGTTTAGATTTACATTTGACTAATGCCTGCCTATACCAAATGACTTTCCTTCAGTTAACAAGCTAAATATGTATAGGAAAATGTTTGGTGGAGCTTGGTTGTTCTGTCAAGAAACTAACTCCGAATCGTGAACCTGTGTCCTCATCAGAAAGTTTGGAAACGCTACAGTTATTTCCCTGAAATTGGTAGCAGTAGTAGATAGATGTTATAAGAAGCTATTCGATGAGCTACTGAAACTCGAATAGAATTTATCAGGCGAGCGACATGTTATGATGATTTTTCCCTTTTCGAAGGCAGATTAGTGTGAATTCCTAACATTAATATCAGCTTAGTTTGATGAGCAAACCTATCTGTATTTAAGAACCAAAAGCATGCAGACAAGTTGATGATTACTTACTGTAAGTATGGAAGAGTCATGTTCTTTATCAGAGAAGGATATCTCCCAACCAGTTGCTTCCATTCTTCTTGATCAATTCTACCATCGCCTTTCAAGTCTGCCTCCATTATTGTCTGCCATTTTTCCAAAAGGTAAATCCATTAGTCCACAGGAGGATGATCACACTCTATAAAATATACAGTTAAAGCATGTAAAACCACGTTTTCTTCACCAACCTTATTTACAATTGCTTCAACAACATCATCTGGAAGTGACAAATCTGATTCTTGTAGAAAAGCCACTACCATTTCTTTCAACTGCGAAATGTGATATTTTACATTACAGGAAAGAATTCATTATCCATTTTGACTTAAGCGGTCAGAAAAAAACATGTTGTTCGAGCGGGTATTTGGTTGCATACCTCATCGCGTTCAATATACCCAGTTCGTCTCAAGTCATACAATCTAAAAGCAACTGCAAAAGAGCCAGTTAAGGAACACAAATCAAGTGCTGAACTAGATTATGAAACAACATAAGAGCCAGTCCAAGCGCTTTAATTTGCTTACATGAAATTTTGTCTGCTGCCGGTGTCCTTGGGTGAAAGATGCTTAAACATCGAACAAATTCACCAAATTCAATGACCCCGTTGCGTTTAAGATCAAACAAATCAAACAACTGCAGCGTGTGAAAAGATCTATCAGATCCCTTTGAACTTTTGGGAGGTTGAAAACAGACTATTCATTAGGGTAGAAATCAAGAACATAACAATGCAGCAGCAATTTGTTCTAAAGCAACTCCAAATTATCAACTAAGAAACATTAACAACAACTGTTACTAAGCCTTTATCCACCATGAAGATTTACAAGGATGATATAAGACCTAACTTTTTGAAGGAAAACTTTTGGCTGTATGGGACGGGGGAAATTTTACATACCCTGTCGGTAAAGAGATTCTTTTTATTGCTGCTATTAAGGAGAGCAAGCTGAAACTCCTCCTGAAAGAAGACACTATACAGAATTAACATCTACCAATTCACCATGCAAATGATAAGCAACTTCTTAAAACACATGCAGAAGCATTGGTCTTTCTGATACAGAACATCGGTTGTGCAAACTATGAAACTTCTCCCACAAACCCGAAAAGAGAGGGTAAATTCAAGAAAAAAACAGTGGGGAACCTTATGAATAAGGCCATCATCAATTATGGAGCTGCTTAGTTCCTCATACAGACAAAAAAGGGCCTCTACTTCATTGACAGTAACTGCAAAAATGAGATTTTGGCAAACTTTAACATATGCCATCACATTCAATTCACGTCAAAAAAAAAAAAAAAAAAAAAAAACTTTTTATCATGAACAAAAACAGAACTTCATCCTGAAGTAGTCTGGATCTGAACTAAATTGATTCTCAACATCCAAGGAAAGAATAATGCAGAACATCTGCAAATTTTTTTCGAAAAACTTACAAGTTGTCTCAGAAGCCAGTAACATGCTGTCTTCAAATCCAGGAGGATTTCTATTTCTCTTCAAGCAGAAGCAGCCCGCCAGGGAATTCATATCTTTGTTGACAAAAATCTGAATATCTGTAGTTCAACTGTTATTAATAGCTCAAATGGGATTGTATATGATGTGCACCTGCGAAAAGCGAATACTAACTTAGCCTTACAAAACGAACCCTTTTACAGAAACTCTGCAAAAGTCAACATGACCAACATTTCCTCAAGATCAAAGCCATCTTTATGTCTGAACTTGTTTTCAAACAAATGAAACAGTACTAGGATCCACCAAAACAACATGAAAAAATGAAGTCAAAACCACACTTTTTGCTCCCATCTCGCCGCCCCAATACAGCAAGAAACTAGATTTCTAAACAAGTAAACCAGAAACAGGTAAAAACTAAAAACTAATGAAAAGCCATCAAACATGGATCAATACTTGTGATTAAAGTTAACCCCCTCCCAGACAAAAAAAGAAGGAAAGTGCAAAGAAAAAGTCTCACCTGTGTTTCAAATGAGTTAGTCTCCAAAGAATAAGCTTAACTAAAAGAATTTCAGGACCAAAAAAAAAAAAAAGAAGTCTGGTGAGCAGTTTATAGGTACGATCTCGATGACAAATTCGAGTTGTTACAGGAACACATTTTGTTTTTAAAACGACGTACTCCTTCCGTCCCACAAAAATAGTCCACGTTGAATTTTGAGTTTTGTACTGGTTTTTTTTAAAAAAAAATTGAAAATTCAATGTGGACTATTTTTGTGGGACGGAGGTAGTGTTCATTAACCAAGTTCAGACAAAGTCTGAAAATCTTTATATAAAATTAAACAGATTAACGTTCGTAGTATTTAACGTAATTGTTGTTAGTTGTTACTGTTAACAACGTTTGCATATGCGTCGGCTGGAGAGAATTTTGTCAATTTCAAGGCGGTTGACATTGTCCATGAGCCCGGAAAATCAAACAACAAGCATGAATAACTGTTAATGACGTTGGCATTTTATCCATTCCACTTGAAGTCATATCCAAATGATACTGTACTCATATTTAATTAATTTGAACAACTAAAATAGGCCGAATAAGTAAATTGAAGTTTCTGTTTTTTAATTGACTTGCAATACACTTCGCTAGTACAAAGTGAGTCTCGTGTTATACACGTCTAAAACAGGACTTGATAATTCGTGAGTAACAAATTAATTAAACAGAAGTTATCAACTAGGGTTTGAATTGATCATGGATTCCTTGTCCTCAACCACATCTCTTTTGATAATAGGAAGAGTAGGATCAATCTTATCACTCCGACTTCCTTATCTCGCTTTATACTCGGAAAGATTGACTTGGTGTAAATTTGTTGTGATTGATTTTTAACATCCCCTCTCAAACTGTGTCGGGGCAAGGGACACAGTTTGTTTTGAAAGAATAGAAGGGCTGCTTTGGGGGCTGGTTTAGTAAAGATGTCAGCTATCTGTCGATCAGAAGAAACATGTTTGGTGACAAGGAACCCAAGAGCAACTCTTTCCCGAACAAAATGGTAGTCCAGCTCTATATGTTTGCTTCGAGCATGAAAGATTGGGTTAACAGTGAGATACAATGCGCTCAGATTGTCACAATAGAGAACCGGAGGTGGTAAGCATGAAATCCAAAGATCTTGGAGAATATAAGTAAGCCAAGTGAGTTCAGCAGCAGTATTAGCCATAGCACGGTACTCAGCTTCAATGCTTGATCGAGAGACTGTGTGTTACTTCTTAGCACACCAGGAAATAAGATTATCACCAAGGAACGTGCAATAGCTAGTGATAGAGCACTGAGTGCGAGCACAACCAGCTCAATCCGCATCTGAAAAAGCAGTTAAAGACAAAGATGTATTAGCGCGGAAATGAAGACCAAAGTTTATGGTCCCTTTGACACAACGAAGAATGCGATGAACAATCTTCATGTGAGACACTGTTGGAGACTACATAAATTGAGAAGCAAAGTTAACACTATAACACAAATCCGAACGAGTGAGAGTGAGATATTGTAACGCTCCAACAAGACTGCGAAATTATTTAGGGTCATCAAATAAGCTAGAATCAGGAATATCAAATTTAGTCTCTAAAGGTGTGGGCATAGGTTTGCAATCAATCATAGCAAAATGTTCAAGAATGTTAAGAGCATAATGTGTCTGAGAAAGCAACAACCCATCATGTACAGAGGTGACTTCAATGCTAAGAAAATGATGTAAAAGACCCAAGTCCTTCATGGAAAATTCCTGACACAATAGATCAACAAAGAACTGGAGGAGCTGAGTTGATGACCATGTGAGCAACATATCATCGACAAAGATTAATAGAACCAGAATCCCTTGCGAAGAATGAAAAACAAATATAGAGGGATCTGCTAAGCTACATGCAAAACCATAATCTAGTAAAACATGGCTAAGACGATCAAACCAAGCACGAGGTGCTTATTTTAAACCATAAAGTACTCGATGAAGTTTACAAACATGAGATGGATAACGGGGATCAGTCATACATGAGGGGTTGTTCCATGTATAAATTTTCAGTAACATAACAATGAAGGAACGCATTTTTGACATCCAATTGCCACATTGGCCAATGATGAACAAGTGCCACAGAAAGTATTAAACGAATGGTACCTGGTTTTATTACCGAGAAAATGTTTCTGTGTAGTCAAGGCCATCAATTTAGTGGTAACCTTTGGCAACGAGACGGGCTTTTAAGCGATCTAAAAACCGTCTCTTTGAACACCCATTTGGAGTCGATAATATTCATGGTAGCGGCACGCAGAACCAACGACCATGTTTGATTTTGATGAAGGGCAGCAAGCTCTTCTTTCATTGCCATTGTCCAGCCAGGGTGGAGAAGAGCCTGCTTCACAGTTCGGGGCTCACGCGGAATGGAGTCAGACAAGGATACCAAAAGAGCATACTTAGGATTGGTTTTGACAATGCCAAGTTGTGATCGGGTGATCATGGAGTGTTGAGGCTGGACAAGAGATGGTTCTGGTGAAGATGTTGCAGCCGATGATGATGAAGAAGATGAACCAGCAGAAAATGGAGAACCTTCAAAAGTGGCACCGGAGGCCACCGAAGAAGTTGGAGACGCAGGCGGCGATTGTTGAGGTGACATTGGCGGCGGACTAGGAGGAAGCTGAACACCAGGAAGTGGAATTGAAATAGGAGATGATGAGGCAGAGATGCAATGAGCTGAATGAGGATCAGGGACACCACCTAAAGGCACATTAGAGTTAGTCGAAGGAGATAACCAGGAATCAAAGACATTGGAGACATGAACCGCATTAGGAGAGCGAGACACGGATTTAAAAGGAAAAATTTTTTCATCAGAAACAACATACCGAGAGGTGATAAATTTTTTGTGAATAGGATCATAACATTTATAACCCTTGTATTGATCACTACAGCCAATAAAGACATAAAGAGTGGACTTAGGATCAAATTTAGTTGTTTTAGTGTCCCAAGTAAATGAAAAACATTTTGTACCAAAAATACGCAAGGAAGAGTAATCGGGATGGTATTGATGAAGCTTAAAATACAACATGTCAAAGTGAAGGGCAGACAACGGAAGCCGATTGAGTAAGTAGACAGCCGTAGAGAAAGCTTCAACCCATAGGAACAAGGGCACACGACTTTGAAATAGCCTTCGTTCAACAACCCCGGAGGGACAAGAACTTTGATGCACAATCCCTGTAGAAGAAAAATGTGATGACAAAGCTGAGTTAACAAATTCTCCGCCACCGTCGGAGTGAAAAATTTTGATGCGTTTATTAAATTGGCACAAGATATAACTCTCAAAGGCTAAAAGACAGAAAAAAAAATCAGATTTATGAGGCAATGGGATCAACCATGTATACTTAGAAAAATCATCAACGAAACAACCATAAAATCAAAATTTGCTAATAGATAAAATAGAAGCAGGCCTCCATAAGTCACAATGAATCTTGTCAAAATGAGCAACTGAAACATGTTTAGAATGATCAAATGGAAGACGACTAAGTTTGCCAAACCGACAACTATCACATAAGTTACTCAACCGTAGTGGACCAGTGACTTGGATCAAGCCTTTATTCTGTAAACGATGAAGAGTCGACTCTTGAGGATGCCCTAATCTTTGGTGCCAAATATCCGCATTGCAAGACCTAAATCGATAGGAAAAATACAATTGTGGGTAATTGGAAATGGTATACAAATCACCCTTTCTTTTTCCTTTCATTAGCACACTTCCTGTTGTCCGATCCTTAATAGAAAAAAGCCACGTTAGAAAATTCACAATTGACAAGATGATGAGATGTTAATTGACTAACAAAAAACAAATATTTCTTTAAATGAGGAACATACAAAACGGATGACAATGGTAACTCAATCTGTTTTTGTTTAAGAGAAGACCACCAACTCCAGTGATTGGAATTGACGAACCATCACTGACAAGAACCGAATCATAGCCATTATATGGAAGAACATTAGATAACATACCTCAGTTGCCAGTCGTATAAGTTGTAGCTGCCGAATCAGATGTCCAGTCAGGATCAATGATGGAATTATCTAAAGTGAGGGCAGCAAGGGCTCGAGGAACCGAATCCGATGAAGTTGAGGATTTAGGAAGCCACCAACAAATTTTGGCGATATGACCAGGCGTGCCAAAATATTGACAAACTTCATTGTGGTATTGCTCATGTTCAGAAGGAGTCATACGACGTTGACCAGGAGGGACTGGACGCCTTGGCTGCAAAGATTTTTTCTGAGGAGATGGATTAGAAGAACGAGATTGTCCAGAAAAACCACGACCTTGCAACGTGAAAGTTGAAGCCGGATTGCGAAACATAGATGGCTGAGTGGTCTTTTGAGTGTAAAAGGCAAGAGATGGAGCCGGATTTGATCCAAGAAAGGAAGAAAAGACAAGATCATTCTGTGTGGAAAACCAACTACGACGTTGATCGAGATTTTGAAGTTGGGAAATTAATTTGGAGTACGTCGGCCAGGGAGGTTTTAACATAGTGGTTGTAAAGGTTTCAAATTGAGGACCAAGACTGTTTAAAAGGCAATAAACTTTTTCATGATCAGGGATCGGTTTGCCGATGGCAGCAAGGCTGTCACAAAGGCCTTTAAAGACACGAAGATGATCATCAATAGTTTTGGAATCATCCTTGTGGAGATAGGTTAGTTTTTGCCGCAAGGTAAACTCACGTTCTTAAAAGTCATGGGCATAAGCATCTTTCAGGGCTTCCCAAACATCAAAGGCCGTATACCAACAACAATGCCCAAGGCCTCTTCGGAAAGAGTACCAATAAGCCAGCCACGCAACAAACGGGAAAGATTTTTGCCAAGTGATGAACTTTTCAATTGATTCGGAAGAAGTTTTGTCTTTATCCGAAATGGAAGTTTGGGGATCAACCAAAGGTTGTAGTGTAAGGTGATCAATTAGATCTTGACTCTCGGCAAGGTTTAGAGCTTGTTCTCACCGGAGAGGATAATTTGTGGGTGTGAGTTTGAGGGTAACAAAGTTCCCAACATTCAAGGACATGGACATGGAAGACATAATTTTTTTTGTTCTGGTTTGTGTGTGTGTGGTGTGATCGGAAAAAAAAAACAGAATTGGATGACTTGGAAACAAGAAAGCGGAAGCAGAAAGAGGTGTTTGGTTTGATTGTTGGATCGAACCAACTGATACCAAGTTGAACAACTAAAATAGACAAAATAAGTAAATTGAACCTTCTGTTTTTTAATTGAATTCCGATACACTTTGATAGTACAAAGTAAGTCTCGTTTTATATACGTCTAAAACAGGACTTGATAATTCATGAGTAACAAATTAATTAAACAGAAGCTATCAACTAGGGTTTTGAATTGATCATACTCGGACAAATTGACTTGGTAATAGGAAGAGTATGATCAACCTCATCACTCCAAACCTGTTTATCTCGCCTCATACTCGGACAAATTGACTTGGTGTAAGTTTGTTGTGATTGATCTTTAACATATTAAACTATAAAATAAAACAACAAACAAATTCAAACTCTTATTTGAAAATCAGAAACTTATATACCCTCTAACACACAAAAGTGATTTAACAGTTACCATTAAACACATAACTAGTAATTAACTGAAAAGTATATATATATATATATATATATATATATATATATATATATATGATAATGACTTAGTGATTCCTGTTTTTTCTATATATATATATCATGCTTAGGTGAGTGACATATGACCAAAGCCTATAATTTTGGCCTTACGGGTCTCTTCTTTGTTTTTTAGCCTAAATATCAGTGGGAAATAAATCACCTAAAAAACTCTACTAATGGAAGATACTAACCTCAATGCGTATCTGTTCTAATCACTCGAGTCATCTTTTTTTAAGCAATTTGATTGACCCGAACAATAACGAGAGTGATAAACTAAAACTTCATCCATCATCACTTAAGAAGGACCATTGTGCAGGAAGCACAATTCTGTCGTTCTAACTTTCGGTGATGATTATTATTATTATTATTATTATTATTATTATTATTATTATTATTATTATTATTATTATTATTCATCTTCTTCTTCTACTGCAAGTCTTTGTTAATTATTACAGACTTACAGTCCAATTAAAGTCTATTGTCACATGACAATTATTTTATTGAAATCAACACCACACCGACCTTTTTTTTTTTTTTAAACCTTTCTTGGGGAAAAGAACTTGAAAACAAAAAGGGGTACGTAGTTGATGATACTAATGCATCATTCAGGGCAAATTATCCAGTATACCCGGGGGCACCGTGCCCCCCTCCTATTTTTTGCATTTTTAACCCTTATTGTACTTTTTTCTCAATCTTTCTATATTTTACACGTTTAGTCCCTGTGATTTTTTTTTTCTCTTTCTTCCAAAAAAAACATCCCTAATATTTCAACGAGCAAATCTCCCAATCCGTGAAGAATTTGTAAACGAATTATATATGAAATTTATTGTACTCGTCGAGATCTATCCAACAAAATCCATAGTGAATATTTTTTCGGGTTTAAAAATGACTTAATTCTGATGGACAGAATAGGGGTGGATATCCAGTTTTACAAGATGAATAACCAACTTGTTCTAAATTGGTTATCCATCGTGTTCATGCTGATTATCCAATCAGTTTGAACTGGTTATCCATTTTGTTTCTACTGCTTATCCAAATTATTTGTACTGGTTATCCACTGTGTTCATGCTGATTATCCAACTTGTTTGTACTGGATATCCATCTATTTGGTTTGTATGCATATCCAACTCTAATCTTTCAACGAGCATATCTCCCAATCCGTGAAGAATTTGTGAACGAATTATATATGAAATTTATAGTACTCGTCGAGATCTATCCAACGAAATCCACAGTGAACATTTTTTCTGGCTTAAAAATGACTTAATTCTGACGGGCAGAATAGAGGTGGTTATCCATCTTCTTTTTTTTTTTTTTGAAGAGTGAATGTCAAACATATGATTGGATAACAAGTACGAACAGAATGGATAATCACTCCAAACCGGTTGGATAATCAGCATGAACACAACGGATAACCATTTTTCAAAGAAAAACGAAAAACACATTTCTTCATTTTCTGTCCGTAAAATTTAAATGCATTTAAAGTTCAAAAAAAATATTCAACATTGATCTTATCGGATAGATTTCGTCGAGCACTATAAATTTCATATATAATTCGTGTTATAATTCTTTACGAATCAAAAGATACAAGGAACATAACGATATGCATGTAAAATAAGTTGGTTATCCATCTTCTTAAACTGGTTATCCACTGTGTTCATGTTGGTTATCCAACTTATTTGTACTGGATATCCATCTATTTGGTTTATATGCATATCCAACTCTAATCTTTCAACAAGCATATCTCCCAATCCGTGAAGAATTTGTGAACGAATTATATATGAAATTTATAGTACTTGTCGAGATCTATCCAACGAAATCCACAGTGAACATTTTTTCGGGCTTAAAAATGACTTAATTCTGACGGGCAGAATAGAATAGAGGTGGATATCCATCTTTTTTTTTTTTTTGAAGAGTGAATGTCAAACATATGATTGGATGACAAGTACGAACATAATGGATAATCACTCCAAAATGGTTGGATAACCATTTTTCAAAGAAAAACGAAAAACACATTTCTTCATTTTCTGCCCGTAAAATTTAAATGCATTTAAAGTTCAAAAAAAATATTCAACATGGATCTTATCGGATAGATCTCGTCGAGTACTATAAATTTCATATATAATTCGTGTTATAATTCTTTACGAATCATTAGATACAAGGAAAAGAATAATATGAATGTAAAATAAGTTGGTTATCCATCTTGATTATTTATTTTAATACTGTTTATCCAACTAATTAGTATTATTTATCCAACCTGGTTTTTCTTTTTATTATTTTTTAAAAAAATAATAAACTAAGTTGGTTATCCAACTCGTTTGTATTGGTTATCCAATCATTGGTTTGTGGTTATCCAAATTGTTTGTACTGATTATCCACTGTGTTCATTTCGATTATCCAACTTGTTTGTACTGGATATCCAACTTAATTCTGCCCAAAGAAATTTGATCATTTTTAAACTCAAAAAAAATATTCGAAATGGATTTTTTTGGAAGAGAAGGAAAAAAGTCACAGGGACTAAAATATCAAAATATTGAAAGATTGATAAAAAGGTACAATAAGGACTACTCGTGCAAAAAATAGGAGGGGGGCACGGTGCCCCCGGATATACTGGATACAGCCTCTAATTCAGTTCTTATTTCCTCAATTTTGATTGACAAAAAGTATTAAAATTAATTCTTATTATATCATTTTATGATCCTATAGGACCTACCAAGATACACAACTTTTCTCTTGTACCTAATTTTCCAAACATAAAAAAAAAAAAGAAAGAAAGAAGAAAAAGGGTACAATATGACTTTTCAACACGTACTTTCCAGTACGTCGAATAAAAGTGTAATGGAATATCACTATATTCTTTTTTTATTAAAAAAAAAGAAATAAAAAATAGAAATAATATAATTATGAAATCACTAATAAAAAATGATGATCACCTCAGAATCCACGAAGTCAAAATTCTGAATAGCTACTGCCTTAGTATCGACTTCCCCCGAATCAAAACACATTCTTATAATGGTGATAAAACCTAAATTATTGAGTCAAAGGACAACCGTAATAAAGTGGTTTAATGAATCTTCCTAAACCAACCAGACAAAAAGAAATACTACTATAACAATTTAAAGATTGTGATTTTGAACCGACCAGACAAAAGTGATTAATTGAAGGTTTTGAAACACACGTAGTACAACATGGAACGTGATCTGTTTGATCCTTGATTAATTATGTGATTAAATAAAGAAAAAAAATTAAAAGTTGGTTTGATTTTAATGTATTAGTTTAGAGTATTATTGTGGGGTTTGTGACATCCAACGTTTGCCACTTCTATAATTCTATCATGTTCTCCAGACTCTATCTACCGTAGATGATGATGGCATTTTTAATTATTTCTTTAAAGCATTGTATTAGATTCAATAGATTGTGTCATTGTGTTATTGCCTTTTTTTATATTGAAAAAGAAATGGTGAAAGGTTGTTTAAATAAAAGTGACCATCCTATCTAACAAAAGACCAGTTTGTAGTGTAGAATGTGTCGAAAAATAATGTAATCTACATGATAATATGCTCCACTACATTTCTTAAATATGTGACTAAATTCTAATAAACTCTATAATTGTGATGGAATAGAATTCTAATTCTACAGAGCATATTTGGCCTTTTTAACTATTTGATCCAACCATTCTACCGAGATCTACTCTTTTTCCAAAAAAAAAAAAAAAAAGAAAGAAAAAAAAGAAACCGAGATCTACTAAAATAAAACTAAATATTAATCTTAGCAATAAAGAGACGCTCTCAAAATTAATAAGCTTTCCGTACTATCATGTTTAATAGACGTAATTATAGTTGTACAATTAATTATGCTCCTTTCATATCATAAATTTTTTAATTTATTATTATTGTACTTTCTTCGGTCTTTATTATAAAGCATTTTGATTTATCATAAGTTTCATTTAATATATTTTTTTCGATTGAAAAAGACTTTAAAACTATATTTTCATATTCATTATGTTCTTCTAATTATCAGGAAATATTTTTTATTTTTTTCCCTTTAATTGGAAAAACATACTAAGGTAAAACGAAAGACAAATTAAAATATCCTATAATAAGGACTGAAGGGAGTAATAGATTAGTGGATTATTTTTCTGGGATATACTCTTTCTGCCCCAAAATTGTATTAAAAGTGAAATTCAAATTGGAAATCAATTTTGGCACGGAGTGACTACAACATACAAATCGATTGGTTACTGGAAAAAAAAATAAATACCAAACAAAACGTCTAGAAGCAAAATTGGGCCAAAGATTTGCAAATTGATTACTCTGGCCCAATTTTGGTCCGAAAGTTTCGTCAGGCTCCTCACAGTAGGCACAATGCTCTGGGCCAGTTTTGGTCCGAAACAAACACATTCAGCCCACAAGCTTCCCGCACTGAATTTAGCCATTATTTATGTTTTTTACAATTCCCTCATTTATTATTGTTGTTCTTCCCTTTCAAATTTCAATACAAAAAAATTCTCGTAATCATTTGATTAAGGAGGAAACATAATCTATGAAAACGATTTAAGTTGAAGAAAAATCTACTGCTCCAGCTCCCCGCAGTCGCCCTAGGTATGGACCGATCAAAAAGTTCTTGTTCAGTTTCATAATTTTGGTTGCTTCCATTGTTATAATTACTCTTGATTGATCTTTGTTTTCTCTTTATGATCTTTGTTGTAGTTTATACCCTACAATGGATGTAGAATTGGTCACTGAAAGTGATGAAGGTTTTATGGTACATGATAATAATGCGGTAAGGTTTTTCTTTTGCCTCCTCTTTTTAATTTTTAATAATTTTTGGGGGTTTTGGTGTTCCGTGTAATGTTTACACTCTGAACATGTTTATTTAGCTTACGCTTTGGTGATTCAATTTAATTTTTTTTGGGCTGTATATGATTTTATCATAACTGAAGTTCATATGTTGGTGAATAGTATTATTTATGGTCTTGGAAGAATGCCATTGTCTTTCCCAGACATCGATGTCTTTGGAGAGTTGGTTCAGCTTCATTTGTTGAATTTTCGTTTTAGACTTGTTTTCTGGGATACGAGGGACTTCAGTTCATATTTGTTTTGTGGAGGGTGTTAGGCTGAGTTATCAACCTTTTTTTTCTTTTTTTTTTTTTCCCCTTCCGGTAGTGGTAACAAGCTCCTTTTATATGCAGGATTATACAAATTTTGAGGGCGAAAGATGTGGCATTTGTATGGATACTGTCATTGACAGAGGAGTTCTTGATTGCTGTCAACATTGGTATGGTCGTTTGTAGATAATCTTCTTTTTTACTTCTGGTCTTATGGTGATAAATTAGGGTTAGGTTTCTCCTAGAATTGGAGGTTTTAATGTCTTCACTTTTTGTTTTTTTCTTGAGGATAAAATCTTGTTTTTTCTTTATCATTTCAACTGATGCTCATGCTGCTCCAAATTTTATCGTGAATTATGCTCATCAGGTTTAACTTTCTTATGTCAGCTAGAGTTTCCTTTATTGGGTTTTATTTCTTGAAAAGGATCTTTATGGTAATGATACTGTGTGTTTCTTTGAACTGTTGCTTGATGGAGGATAATTTAGTGTCTATTAACTTTGCCAGTTCATTATGCTTGTTACTAACTAGGAAGATTCTGCCATTTGTCTTATTATAGTTATGATGCCGGTTAGGTTAATGCTATATTGTTGTCTAACCATGATAATCGTACTAGCCTCTGATATCAACTTCTACAACTCACTTTTGAACAATGACCTGAGATTGCAATTGAAATTTCAGGTTTTGTTTTACTTGCATTGACAACTGGGCTACCATTACAAATCTATGCCCACTTTGCCAGAATGCATTTCAATTGATCACATGTGTGCCTGTGAGTATAAAAACCCGTGGGACGTTCTCTTTCAGTTGATGTAAATATATTTTTGTTCCTTTATACTCTTTATTATACCGTGTTCTTTAAACAATGAACTGCCTCGTGTTTGGAAATAATTTCCAGCACTGATGTGAATTATGGGAAATTATTTGGTGAAGTTACTCTTTTTTTATTTATTTTTTAAATAGCTGACACATGATTTTCTATTCTGAAGGTGTATGATACAGTCGGCAACAAGACTGATGAGAATTCATACTCTAGGTTGGTCTTATTATTCTTATGTGGTTGTAGCTTATCCGGATGTCTAGATCCTCCTTTACGTTATTTTATGTAATTTAGCAATGGAAGTTTGGAGGGGCACGTCCACTATCTCATGACTCATGCCTATGCTTATTAAGGTGTGGAGTTGGGGAGGGACTTAGTTGGCATGCTTTAGAAAGTGATAAATTGGCCCCTTAAGATTATGATATAGGGACTTATTTTGGACTTCTTAGGATGCTACAATGTAAATCATTAGGGCATCTAATATTCTGTTTGCATAGAAGCTCATGCATGTGTGGGGCTTGGTGAAGGTTGAGCTATTAAGGCCTAAGTACGTAGCATAACCTTACTTTTCTGCTAGAGGCTGTCTATGCAACCATAAGTTGTGGCCTCAAGTCATTAAAATTGAACTATTCTTTCTAGATGGCTGCATATTTAATTAATTGTATTGCGGTCTCTGCACTCCAATATGGCAGAAGAGCTGTTTATGGTTTTTTTAAAGTAGAAGTCTGAATTTTTTCGGCAAAGAAGTTTGAGGTTATCCAGTACTGAAAATGTTTAAGTTAGGACAGTTTTCGATATTTCCACCTACCGACTTTTTACACTAGTGCAATCTCGCAGTTATCTAAGTTGATTCACAGTTACTCTGCTATATAGTTGCAAGTAACCTCTAATATTGTTGTTTGCATCTTTTGTGGCTTGTGCAGAGATGATGATGATTGGTGCATTGAAGGACAAAATAACACCCTATCCTTCCCATCATATTATATTGATGAAAATGTAAGGCAATGACGTTCTCTGGTTTGCTTGTCGTATCGTGATTTATTTTTGGATATGATGGTATCAATTATCATATGCAGCTTGTTTTCCCCTGAAAGATATGGATACTTGTTTTTATTATTTTAGTTGTTAAGTAATGATTTTTTTGGTTTATTTAAAATAGTGCTGTAGCCTTTTTATTGGTTAATTTTTTATAACTTCTGATGAGGGATTTTTGGGGTTTCTTTCTTCCAGTAGTGATGCATAATAAATTAAAACATGTTCGTTGTTGACTTTGTGCATATGATAGTTTAGATTCTCTTATGTGAACTTGTGGCATAAACATCTATACTCCAGTGCAAGAGCTTGACTTTTGCCATAGGTTGAATGTATTTAAATTGTGCAAGAGATTCAGTCGCATAGATGCGATGATATATCAGATTGCTTCTGAAATTGAGTCCTAGGGGATTCGTTGGAAAATCTGCTCTATATAGTATACAGTTGGGCATCTTCCCAATATTTGGCTTTCTGCTTTCTGTAGGGCCTTCAGTTTTAATTGAATTTTTTTGACCAGGAAATTGTCATGCCCTTTGTCGTCTTGTAGGCAGTTGTCTGTTTGGAAGGCGATGGCTGCAAAATACGGAGTAGATCTGTGACATTAGAAGCAGATTCAGTTCTTGATACATCCATTGCTTGTGATGGATGTGATGTATGGTATGTGCAATTATCCTTTCGTCAATCCTAGTTGTAGAATTTGGGTTCCCATGTTCTGCTGTATTCAGGTCCTATATCTTTGAACTCTTCAAATCCTAATGGACAGCTAGCTGCCCGACAGAGTTGTAATCCATTGAATGAACCTTATCTGTTTTTAGCTTGAGTCAGTTGCAGCCTGTTACTCATAAATTTAACCTACGCTGCTTAACCTGCATTTACCAACAAGCATATTAATTTTAATTCTTTAACGTAAGAGGTGCATTCCTGATTGTTTTATTGACTTTCTTTGACCATATTATCTATGATTGCATCAGGTACCATGCCTTCTGCGTTGGATTTGATCCTGACGGAACCTATGTAAATTCATGGCACTGTCCAAGGTAACTAATAGGAGATAGTGGAATTCAACTCCATAAATTATCATTGAATCAGTCAATTTACTTCAATTTGCTGGCAACTCATGATAAAATGCTGCTGAAGATTAGTTTCTATTGCTATTTAAGAATCGTAAAAGTCTCAACAATTTTTCTTCTTCATGGCATCATGTGTACTTCTTTCCTTGTTTTGGTTAGTTGTTTTATTCATTGTTTCTTCTTCTAGCTCTGTTGATTTTACTTCTTTAATGTTATTTAACCCAGATATACTGCACAATGTTGCTTCTAACTACTTTGGATGTAATATTTGAAACTGAAACAGGTGCCTGAACAATCAGATGCCACGAGACTATTCTGATGATGTACCAGTGACAATGTTAGGTAACCAACCTGGTCCAGATGCTGGTGGAGGTGATTCTTCAGGAGAAGCATCTTTCTTGGGAAAAGTATCAGTATCAATTGCCGATGCGGGCGAGACAGCCATTGTTGTCTCCCGTGTTGATGAAAACCAAGGGAGTTTAGAACCAAGTGGAGGACTTCCAATCTTGGATTCTATCACCAACAAAAACGGGGATGCACTTGTACTGAGTTCGGTTTTTGATGTTGCAAAGCCTCAAGAACCCGCAAGTATAGTGGTGTCCAGGAAACAAATCTCTGGGTCAGAAAAGCTGGGATTGTTGTCATCACAAAACGAATGTTTCAGTTTAGCATCCCCTTCCCCCTCACATACCGCTGATGCAAGAACGGAAGATCCGAGTAGTGGGAGTGCGCTTGGTACTGCTTTAACAAAATCTTCTTCTGAACTTCTGATGATAAATTGCTCAATTGTTGATTCTGGTTCTGCGGTTTGTGATTTGATTGAAAGATCTTTAGATTGTTCTCCGAAAGTAAATTTTGCTAGTAGTGTTTTACCTCTTTCCTTTACATCTAGTTGAATCAATGGCCAATGTTCTTGTTGATGATCAAGTGCATGGAATGGTACTCGAGAAGAGCAGCTTGCAGCAAGTTTTACCAGGTACCAACGATACTAGAATATGAGCTCTTTCTCTGTGGTCTTGCAATTTGGATACAATGATGTCAATTTTAATGTCAATTTTTCTATTTGGTGTCCTCTTTGAAATGTTTGCAGATGATGAAATTGCACCAGATAAAGCAGAGATACTGGTAGGTGGCAGCATGAAACCATATGAACAAGTAGATATTGCTTCTGCTAATGGTGTTAAGAGAAAGAACAAGGATACCAGGTTATTATTCGTGGCATGATTCTTGAATTACTTGACCTCTCAAAACTGGTCTGATATCTTTTGTGATTTTTAGTTTATATCCCGAAGCAGAAGTCTATATGTGTTTCTCATGATGCATATTTTCCCTTTGGTATGCAAAACCATGTTAGTGCTCTAGGACAAGTCTTTTGCAGCCACATATCTCATCCTTGATAAGCAAAACCATGTTAGTGTCCTGGGACAAATATTTCTTAGCCATATATTTTCTCTTAGGTATGCAAAACCATTTTAGTGTTCTAGGACAAGTCTTTCTTAAGCCATTATGGAAAATGGAGTACCCTTCACGGGGTTGATTTGTAAGTTGAAATTAGAACACCTGGGCTTTGCTTGTTTAGAAAAGAATTATGAAGGTAACTTATAGCCGTGACATAAATGATTATAGTTGTAATTGAATCGTTCTTGCAATTGTCTGATTGTAGGTGAGAGTCAGATAGCGCATCTCTTTTCAGTGAGTTTTTGAAAATAGAAAAGTTTTTTTGCTTCCATTTTGATGATTTTCTTCTGAGGAAGCCATAATTACAATAGTTGAATTGCTGAAACATTTCTTTTGGTTTTCCTCCTAGCTGTTGATTCTGTAGAAGCTTTAATTGCATTTTTGTGATTAATTTTATGTACCTAACTTGTCTTAACAAGAATCATATATGGGCTCATGAATTATGGTTATGGGATGATTTTATAGCCTTTGCGATAATGTAATTTTGCGATGTAATGGTTAGGTGAATTTCCTGCCAGCATATGTTTCTTCTTGTTGAAATTTCTACAGTGTGAGAAAGATGTTAATGATTTGCAGAATCCCTGGTGTTGGGGTAAATAGAGCTGAAATTGAAGCTGACATACCTCTGAAGAAAGTGAAACTCAAGGCCCGTGAGGCAAAAAATCGGCTAGTTCCTTCAAAAGACTATTCCTCTGGTTCAGATGAGGACGCCGAATCTGAAAAGATTGGTGTTAGTTTTGATATAATGAATATAGTTCAGGGGTCTGGTCATAAGCGCCGAAAGCTGGCGGCCAGTACCAATTCCACTTCTAAGGAGGGCGAAAATTCTGTTCGTTTGCGAGTCAAAAAGATAATGAGGAGAACTGGGGATGATGCAGATGCATCTCAACTAGTGCAAAATCTTCGGAAAGAAATCAGGGATGCTGTTCGTAATAAATCATCTAAAGAAATTGGAGAAAATATTTTTGATCCGACTCTTTTAGCTGCTTTCAGGGCCGCAGTAGCTGGACCAGTGGCTGAAGATTCGAAGAAGCCTCCTGTAGATTTAAAAGCTAAGAAAGCGCTGTTGCAGAAAGGAAAAGTTCGTGAAAATTTAACAAAGAAAATATATGGGGTTGGTGGGAGGCGGAAACGGGCATGGACTCGAGATTGTGAGGTTGAGTTTTGGAAACATCGGTGCGAAAAGGTTTCTAGGCCTGAAAAGGTTCAGACCTTAAAATCTGTTCTTGACCTCCTTAAAAATGATACTGGTAACAAGGAGATAAAGCATGACAAAGATGGGGAGGCAAGTTCCATTCTTTCAAGATTGTATTTAGCAGATACTTCTATTTTTCCGAGGAAAGATGACATCAGGCCCATATCAGTCCTTAGAAATGATGGAATTCCAGAAAAGAACAAAGAGCAGAATTTGCCTCAAAACCTTGAAAAGAATCCAGTGAAGAATGAGGTTTCCAAAACAATAGTTGATACTTCAACAGAATGCACACAGCCCAAGAAAGGTGTCTCAGGTCTTAAGACTGAATCAGCTTCAGCTAAATCTCAAAACAAACACACTGAAAGGCCATCCACATCTCAACTCGGTAGCTCAAAGTTGTCTTCTCAGTCCGAAACATCCGGTGCATCTAATGGTAAAAAGAGTGATATGAGGAAATGGGCTTTAGAGCTTCTTGCTAGAAAGACTGCTACGACAAATGGCCCAAGGGAAAAAGAAGAGGATAGTATCATGCTCAAGGGAAATTTTCCTTTATTAGTAAGTATTAGTTTCTTTTCTTGCTGATTTTTCCCATTTTCTTTTTGGCTGTGAAAATACAATGTATGTTACCTTTTATTCCAGGCTCAGCTTCCAAAAGATATGCGACCAGTTTTAGCACCTACTCATCACAATAAAATTCCCGTATCAGTCAGACAGGTACCTTTTTCCCCCGATGGTACCATCTGCTTTTTAGGCTCTTTCCAATCCTCATTTATGGATTATTTTAATTTCTAATTGCCTGTTTTTATAAATTGATTTTATTAAACATATATGTAAAAGTTCTCCTGGAAAGCATCAAGAAAGAGAAATTAGGCGAAACTTAAGTTGGATTACATAATTGACCTTGTATTATCTTGTGGGTCTATATTTTATTGGCCTTTCTGACATTGTTATTACAATGTTGTACATCACTTGTTTCATAAAGTGACCCCACAGTAAATGCTCAGGAATCGGCCTCAGCCTATTCTTTTTATTACTGGCAGAAGCTACCTGCCACTCTCAGAATTTAATTGTCAATTGAATTTCTGTTGACATATGAGAGAGTAATTGTCCCTTACATTTTTCTTAATACTTCCTCTCCTTACCACCAAATTTAATTTTCTATATTTGTATTAGATAAATGTTGCTTTCAGTTGAGAAAGTAGAACTAAAGTGAGAATGAAGCAGTGGCAGAAGTACAATGAGGATTAAGAATGGCTACTGCTAATTACTCGGAACACGTCAATTTGATATATTCTTTCTTTATTTTCCCCTTTTCCTTCAGTTTCCTGGACTAATGAATCTCCAAAGTGGAGTTCTGGGCCCTCTTTTTCAGAAACATTTGTAGAGTTACTCTCCATTCTGTTTATGATGATATAGAGTTATTGTTGGTACAGGCTCAACTTTACCGTCTTGCAGAGCTCTTTTTGAGAAAGGCAAATTTGCCAGTTATAAGCATAACTGCAGAAACAGAATTGGCGGTTGCTGATGCCGTTAACATTGAAAAGGAGGTTGCTAATAGATCAAACAGCAAGCTAGTATATGTGAACTTGTGTTCGCAGGAGCTATCACGAAGATCGGATTGTGTGAATTTGAGTAGAGAAGAAACTGCTCCTACTTCTCCTGCCCCTATTGATCAACCAGAAGAGAAAAATGATACTGCTGATACTGCTTCCCATCTCGAGGTCGATGAAGCATTGAAGCTGGCAGGATTGTCCGATACCCCTCCAAGTAGTCCATGCCAGCCTTTGGAAGAGTACGAGGATTCCGGTTTATTGCAACACAATAATGATGACGATGAACTGAATGTGTTTGAAATGGATGCTCAACCAGAACTTGATATTTATGGTGATTTTGAATACAACTTAGAGGACGACGACCTCATTGCTGCTAATGTTGTAAAGACTTCCAACCCACCGGAGGAGGGTTCCAGAATGAAGTTGCTTTTCTCCACCCTTAACCTTGAGAAATCAAATGGTTCCCCACACATTTCAGATCTTGAAGGATCAGCATGCAACAAACCTGTAGCGCTGTCTTTCGGCTATGACTGTCCCATTGAAACTGGAAGCTCAAATAGAGAGAGTGTGGAGAATGCCAATCAGCCTCAGGCGAAACTACCGGATGAAGAGTGTGCGGAACTTTCTCTTGCTGAATGTGAAGAATTATATGGGCCTGATAAAGAACCGCTCGTTGTAAAGTATCCGGAGAGAGCAACAATGCAACCGTGTGAAGTAATGGATGATAAAGGCACTAGGAATGGAAATGAATGTAATGGAATTAACAAAGCTGATAAAGAATCTGAACCTGAAAAAGAAGGAGCTCATGAGTCTGCTAGTTCACACAATCATCCTCATAATGCAGAACAAACACATTGGAAGAAGAAAAGTTCCACGGCCAGTTCTGACAAGCAGTCAGACGCTTATAATTTTGTTTCGAAGAAGGTATGGATAATCATGCTTCATTTATAGTGGTGTTACATTGATTAGAACAAAAAAGGAAAGAACTATCTGCTTTACTGATATATGACGACGACTAATTGGCTGCATGCTTCTGGTCATTAGGTTGAAGCCTATGTCAAAGAGCATATCAGGCCACTGTGCAAGAGTGGCGTTATCACTGTTGAACAGTATAGATGGGCTGTAGGAAAGACGACTGAGAAGGTCATGAAATTTCATTCAAAAGACAAAAATGCAAATTTCCTCATCAAGGAAGGAGAGAAAGTTAAGAAACTTGCCGAAAGGTATGTTGAAACCGCCCAGCAAACAGTAACTAGCCAAGCCTGTCAGAAGTAAAGCAGTTTTCTTTTTCCCTTCTTTTTTCCACTTTCATCAGTTTTGAACCGTGTTTAGACAATGAATAGGAACGAGTCTTCGGCCAATGTATATATCAAGGCACATTTTTGAACAGGTTTGGAGGCCTATTGAAAAAGGCTTAACTTAGCTGAATGGAAAGAACCTAGTATGATCCCATTCTGACCCTTTGCTCGTGTTGTCTGTATTTGTCTCGAACCAATTGGAACGGCGCTCTGGAGATTGACATTTTAAGCAACTTTGTTCGGAAGATTTTTTTTTTCTTTTGTTTTTGTGAATATTAGAAATTCCAGTGATAAGAATAATATTCTAACATAATTGTCCAACATAATAAAAAGGTTTTGTCTTCGTTCCAAATGTTCATGAATCCTAAAACTATGTAATATTCCATTATTTTGGTGCGGACAAAGTATTATATTGAGAAGTAAAAATTAACTAAAAATTTGAGAATTGTGATGAGAATCATAATAGAAAAGAAATAAACTAGTATGTAGTCTTTTTAGTTTTGGGAAGCGATAATCTTATTAACTATTTAAACCTTGCGATGCTTGTGATCATTTGAGCAATATTACTTGACTAAAATGTTAATCAATGATTATGTTTCACAAATTAGTTGTTGGGCTTTAATTTTGATTTCGGACTGAAATTTTGGTGAGTTAAAACTGTGAAACATTTATCAAATAATCATAATTGTAACAAAAACCAACATCAAAGTCCCTTTTTTTTTTTAAAAAAAAAATCAGAGTTAAAACTCTAAAGTGTAACTTAAACTATTTAACATGATAATATTAACATTTGTCCTAAAACGATTGCCCATAGTTGGGTCAAAAATGTCGAACAAAACTCAATTATCACTGTGATAATGATGGGAGGAATATGAAACCAAATTTTATTCTTACTTTGGGCCGAAGAGTTGTATTGAGTTGTGGGTTGATATGGTCACAAAAGAGGTTTTGTGCTGATAGGGGCCCAAGATTCTCAATCACTAATACGACGTAGCGCATGTCGTTTCTCAATCCAAGCGTAGTTTTTGACGATTTGAACTATTTCAGCTTTGGCTTTCTTCTCTTCCCACTTCTCAGAAGAAAAGGATGATGAAGTGGTGAACTGTTCTTCCTGCAAATTCCAAGGTTACTCACAAAAAATGGCCTTTACAGTAGAAATGTGAAAGATTTCCTGCATTTCTTTCTTTGTCTTCTCTTCCATTGCTCCTAAATGATGTTCTCGAAACCGGGTTTGGGTACCCGGAAAATCCATGTATCATCTTCAGTTTTCCAGACTTCAGAACCCTCTTTAGCTCTTGGTGGTTGTTCCTCACTGCCCATCAAATTCCCACCTCAGAAATTTCAGATTGTTAAATTGAATTTCACTTCAGATAGTTGCGGTTCAAGACGATTCCGGTTTTTGCACTCTGCCAGAGCTGTTTATTCTCATGATAATTCTAACCGTTCCGCTGCTGCGACTTCAGACAGTGTTGATGTTGAAGGAAAAGACGATTTTGTGACGAGGGTTTTGAAGGAAAACCCAAGTCAAGTGGAACCCAGGTATTTGATAGGGAATAAGTTATATACACTGAAGGAAAAAGAAAATTTGGATAAAATTCAGGGTTTGGATTATGGGGTGTTGGCGGGGTTGTTCAAAAGGCTGAATTTGAAGTCGCTTGTAGCTAAAACCAGGGGTAATAATCAGTTAGGTGAATCCCAGGGTGACGAAGAGGTATATCTGAAGGATATTTTACGGGAGTATAAAGGAAAACTTTATGTGCCAGAGCAAATTTTTAGGTCAAATTTATCCGAAGAAGAGGAGTTTGATAGAAACGTGGAGGAGTTGCCCAAGATGGGGATGGAGGAGTTTAGGAAGTACATGAAAACTGATAAGATAAAGTTGCTGGTTTTCAAGGAAAATAGTATTAATGGCTTTATCGGTTCCAGAGAATTTGTTGTGGAGTTGAAGGAAATTCCCGGTGAAAAGAGCTTGCAAAGAACGAAATGGTAAGCCTAGTCCGCTTCTCCTTCTCTCTTTTAAGTGTGTGGAACTTCCATTTTTTCTAATGCAAGTGTTCTTCTATATACTTGTTCAGGGCAATGAAGCTGGATGTGAACCAAGCACAAGTTCTGCTGGAAGAGTATACCGGGCCTCGTTATGAAATAGAGAAGCAAGCGATGGTATTCAAACCCTGAGTTTTAGAGCATTTTAGTTTGTCTTAACATGAATTCTTCTCAGTATTGAGGACATGTTAATGAGGCAATTAATTCTTGTATGCTAATGTTATCGAAAGGGTGGATGTGGTAGTAGGGATTAATGTTCATAGATACTGATTTAATGGGTATGCTTTTACAAAAATATCGGTAAAGCTGCTTGATCATAGGAAGTTGTGTCAAGGTTTTCAATTTTCTTGATATATTTGGAAATGGCATTCTTTAGTAAATGTAGCTTCAGCCTGCTAAGATCTAGGATTTATTGACTATTGAACGCTATTTGATTATATGGTCACCGGAAGATGATAATCTAATATGAGAGTCAAAGGTAGTATAAAGGAGTTAATCAACATTTATCAAGAATAAATCAAGTTTAAAAGAGTCTAGCAGTTTCATTCCTGAGATGGTAGTTTTAAGGAGTTGAAAGTTTCATCCATTACTTCATTCTCTTGTACCTGGTCCTAATTTAGTTTGATTTAGAGCTGCAGTGATCTCCATTATCATGGTTTGAGTGTACTAGGAAACTCAAAATATTTCTTTGAGATGTGTGAATTGCTTGAAACACGAAAATTGCTAATGTTTCAAGTAAATGCCAGAACTTGTTATTGGGAAGAGATGGTTTACTTGTTGCAACTATTTTAGCCTTCTGTTGGTTTACTTTGAGACCTTTTGTGCAGTCTTGGGTAGGGAAAATGCCCGAATATCCTCACCCTATAGCATCAAAAATATCAAGTAGAATGATGGTGGAACTGGGAGTTCTTACTGCTGCTATGGCTGCAGCTGCCGTTGTTGTTGGTGGGTTCCTTGCTTCAGCAGTCTTTGCGGCAACCAGCTTCTTTTTTGCGGTGGCTGTGTATGTAGTATGGCCTCTGACGAAACCAATTCTGAAGTTATGCTCTAGTCTTATTTCTAGTGTTGTGGAAAGAGTGTGGGAAAATTTTGTTGATATTTTCATTGATGGAGGTTTCTCGAAGTTGTACGAAGTTTATACTTTTGGTGGTGTTTCTGCCAGTATTGAGATGCTGAAACCTATCATACTTGTATTTGGGATCATGGTTGTACTTATCCGGTTTACTCTATCAAGGAGACCGAAAAACTTCAGGAAATGGGTGAGGTTTGCAGCCTGTATGTGGTATTTTACCAATGATTGCTTTGGTTAGAATGTGGATTTTATCTTCCTTTTATTTGCAGGACATTTGGCAAGGCATTGAGTTCTCTCAGTCTAAACCACAAGCCCGTGTGGACGTTAGTTTTTCCCCCTACCTTCAATTTCTTCCGATAATTGTTATGCCTTGATCTTTATATGAGGGTTGCAATAACTTATTTTCTACCGTTCAGGGTTCTACTGGGGTCCTTTTTAGTGATGTGGCTGGAATTGAGGAAGCTGTAGAAGAACTTCAGGAGGTGAGCTATCATAATGGGTAATGCACTAATGCTCAAGGGGTTTTGTGTTTTTATTTGTTTTAAGGAAAGAAAGGCTGTTGGTTTTAACATGTACATGTAATTTGTTAGACAATTCTCTGAAACTTCAGAATCAAGTGACAGTTTTCAATTTGTTCACTGGATAGTTGGTGAAGTACCTGAAAAATCCAGAATTGTTTGATAAAATGGGGATAAAACCTCCTCACGGGGTTCTTCTGGAAGGCCCTCCTGGTTGTGGCAAGGTGAGTTCTCTGTTTGAGGATTATGATTTATCAATTTAGGAGAATTTGCAATCTTTAAAATCTGTGAATCTTTTTTATTTTTAGACATTGGTTGCAAAGGCTATAGCTGGTGAAGCAGGAGTTCCATTCTACCAAATGGCTGGCTCTGAGTTCGTTGAAGTTTTAGTTGGTGTTGGTTCTGCCCGTATCAGGGATTTATTCAAGAGGGCCAAGGTGATGGATTATATATCCCCGCACTTGTTTGATCTGGTTTCAGTTTTTATCTAGAACAGTTGCTGGTTTGCGGGTAGAATTGTATTGGAGGCACATGACTTTTTAGCCACTCAAATTGAGAAAAGAAAACAATTTATAGTTTGTTATTTGCTGAAGAATGCAATTTCGGTTTGCAGGTCAACAAACCATCAGTGATATTTATTGACGAAATAGATGCTTTGGCTACAAGGTAATTCATGTGACAGTACAAGTGTACAACTACTGTATTTGTCTAATTTATACGAATTTTGTTGAGAAATTAACTTTGTTCCAATCTATTGTTATTATTATTTTTAAATGTGATTCTCAGCTGGCCATTTTTATCTTTCTTTCTTTTTTTTTTTTTTTCGAACTATATGTAGGCGTCAAGGAATATTCAAAGAATCAACCGACAACCTGTACAATGCAGCAACTCAAGAAAGGGAAACTACATTGAATCAGTTGTTGATTGAACTAGATGGATTTGATACAGGCAAGGGAGTCATATTTTTGGGTGCCACGAACAGGAGGGATTTGCTAGATCCAGCTCTTCTACGTCCTGGCCGATTTGATCGTAAGGTTAGCAAATTTTGTCAAGTTCTGATGCAATGACTATTCAAGAATAAAGTAAAAAATATAAGAAAAACTTGATATCTTTTACGTACAATCATATTGCCACAGAAATTCGGACCTTGTTTCGCAAATGTCACCACATTCCATTACAGTGAATACTAAAGAAATTAAATTTAAGAAGCAAGAAAAACTGAATCTGAATGTACAATTGTATTGCAACAGAACTTCGGCCCATGGTTTTCTCTGACGTCTTAAAGCTCATTGATTAATTCACTGTTTCATGAAGTTTTGTTTGGGAAATGTTTATCAAGCAGAATTCAAATGTTTTTTTGAGGCAAGTGATTGTAAGAAACAGTGGCATATTTTTGATAATATCCAGTTTTATGTGTATATCTTGGAGTAACTTGTTTAATAATACTTTGTTCTTCTTTGGAATGCTGTTGATGGACTCTCTTCATATGTTCAATTTGTGATGCAGATAAGAATCCGTCCTCCAAATGCAAAAGGAAGATTGGAGATTTTAAAAGTTCATGCTCGTAAAGTAAAAATATCAGAAACTGTTGATTTATCTAGCTATGCCAATAACTTGCCAGGTACTTCTTTGCAGTTTTTCTTGTCTGAGAATGGCCCTATTTTTTATCTAACTGTCATCCCAACAGCGTTGGCGTTTTGTGATTCCCACTATGAAGTTTGAACAGAAATATTTCATTGGTTATTCATGAGAAATTTGTTTTCCTCATAGGCAACTGCGTAGTTGGTATAAGAATTGGTGTATTATTTTTCTTTCTATTTTTGGTTGTGGTTTTCATCTAGGGTTTATCTTTCTATTCTTTTTTTGGTTGTGGATTTCATCAAGCGTTTAAGTAACACAAAACTAATTTCTGTATTCCAAGGTTGGACGGGTGCAAAGCTGGCACAGCTTCTCCAAGAGGCTGCTCTTGTGGCAGTTAGGAAAGGTCATAGCTCAATTGTTCAGTCAGACCTAGATGATGCGGTTGACCGGCTTACTGTAGGACCCAAGCGTGTTGGAGTTGAACTGGGTCATCAGGGGCAATCCCGCCGTGCTACCACTGAACTCGGAACTGCTTTGACTTCTCACCTTCTAAAGCGTTTTGAGAATGCTAAAGTTGAAAGTTGTGATCGCATTTCTATTATCCCTCGGGGCCAGGTGGTTTTTTGTTACTTGATTATTATTATTATTATTATTGTTATTATTATTATTAGTATTATTATTGTTATTATTATTATTATTATAATATTCATTTCGTTTAACACAGTTCTACGGAGTCTTTTAAAACTGCCATTTTCTGTTATGCTTCATTTATTCTCACTGTTGATACAATTGTGATTTTTATCTGCTTCAATTCACTGTCATGAGTGTTTAATTCAGCTCTTGTGGGTCTTGTGGCTCAAATATCAGTCTGACATGTGAACTAAATTGAAGCAGTCTATTATATGTTATTTATTTATTTATTTATTTTTTTATAAATTTCTGCTAGCTGCGATTTTTTTCTAATTACAACAGATGGCTTATGCAGACTTTGTCCCAGCTTGTGTTCAATCGCCTTGACGATGAGTCATACATATTTGAGCGCCGCCCACAGCTACTGCACCGCCTTCAGGTTTGAATTTCTTATTTACTATAGGGATTTCATTTTATTTTCTGCTCTCCAATGTCACCATTTTGCATTTGCATAGATTCTACTTGGAGGGAGGGCCGCTGAAGAGCTGCTATTTGGCCGGGATACATCAAAGGCATCAGTTAACTACCTTGCTGATGCGTCGTGGCTTGCCCGCAAGATAATCACAATGTAGGTAATTTTATTTTATTTTTTTAATTAAAATTTTAGTTGTACGTGAATTGAACTTCATAATTATTTTGTTCCACTCATGACAGATGGAATTTGGAGAATCCGATGGTCGTTCATGGGGAACCTCCTCCGTGGAGAAAAAGACCAAAATTTGTTGGCCCACGGCTCGATTTTGAAGGATCGCTTTATGATGATTATGGCCTGATCGAGCACCCCATCAATTTCAATCTCGATGATGAAGTCGTAAAGAGGACAGAAGATTTGATGCGTACAATGTATGCCAAGACTCTCGCTCTGCTGAGGCAGAATCATGCTGCTTTGCTTAAGGCTGTAAAGGTATGTCGACCTGGTTCATTTGCTCATGTCCTATGATTATGCTATGAAAATTGACAGGTCCTGTATGGAATTAAACTACGGAGAGACTGACTTTCCACTAGTTCAGTTATTGTGGGATCATTTGAAACATCATTTCTTTGGGGTTGATTGCACCCATTGAGGTTTGAACCCAGAACCTCATGCCCAGAATTCCCACACTTCCTGCCACCCTGAACGTCCCCAGGAATGAAACAGCTATTCATGCCCTTTTAATTCATCACTTTTAGCTCAAACTAAAGGTGACCTACTTGGCTATGAATGCAATGTACTTTTGATATTGATCCTTAAAAAAACCTAGAAGTTGGCCAAAATGTAGTTTTATGGCTGTCGTTGATCGCGCATAGATGCCTGGCTTCCCCAAGTTTAGCTCTGTACATTCAATGAAGATAACAGTGAATCCATATAGCCAACCACATTCATTGGGTTACAGCTTAAGCTATAATTGGTGCACATTCGCCTAGGACGCTGAATCTTGTGCCCATGTCCATGTATGACCTACTAAAGGTGACCTACTTGGCTATGAATGCAATGTACTTTTGATATTGATCCTTAAAAAAACCTAGAAGTTGGCCAAAATGTAGTTTTATGGCTGTCGTTGATCGCGCATAGATGCCTGGCTTCCCCAAGTTTAGCTCTGTACATTCAGTGAAGATAACAGTGAATCCATATAGCCAACCACATTCATTGGGTTACAGCTTAAGCTATAATTGGTCCACATTCGCCTAGGACGCTGAATCTTGTGCCCATGTCCATGTATGATGCAGGTTCTTCTTAATCAACAAGAAATCAGTGGAGATGAAATTGAATTCATCCTCGATAATTATCCTCCTGACGCACCAGTAAATCTTGTATTGGAGGAGAGAGATCCTGGAAGCCTTCGACTCTTCAGCAGAAAGCAAGAGCAGGAAGACAAACTCGAGCACAACTTATTGACTTCTTGAAGAAGATGCAGATAAAAGGAGAGATTCATTCATACCATTTGGACAGCATTTTTGGTTAGAGGTGGCGAGATTAGGCTTTCCACACTTCTTCTCTTCAATCAACTTCTATAGATGTCTACTGGGTTGGAGTTGTGTACTGTAAAGGGGTAAAAGAATATTGTGTACATTATTTGTATTCGAATTGCGTTTAGAGAATATCAATGGATCGATGAAGAGAAAAAAAAAATAAAATGAAAATTTTGAATCAATGATGATAAAATTTTGGCTGGCTTTTGATCTTTTCTTTTAAATGGTAACTTCTTCCGCTACATCTACTTTGATCAATATGTTATCTCAGGTACAATTGTTATATTCAAAATCAGTTATCACTCTTGGAAAGGTGATCTTGTATATTTCGATGTACATTAAAAATTGTGCTAAAACACATATTTTAGAATTTTTTTTTGCTTTTCCAATTTAAATGTCTTCACATTACTCCATTTTGACCACGTCAATTTTCAAAGTATTAAGGATTTCACGGGAATCCTCAACTTTTTTTTCTTACTGGTATTTCTTAGAGTACAACTTTCATGAGTTATTTTTTGGAAAAATTTGTCTAAGAGGTAGTAAAGTTAATCAAATTAAATAAAAGGGTATGACAATGAAATAATTATATATATTAATGCAGGAGAGATTTCGGCCACTTGTTTCGTTTGTAGAAGCTGAATTGAGAATTAGAAAAAAGGAGCTCATTTAGACCACCGTAATTTTTGCCGTGTAATTTTTTGTTTTCACTTATTTACTGTCAATCTTCAGATATTGATACGTTTTTAAATATGAATTTAAAAAGTTGTTAATAGAAGATAATTTTATCCCATTTTTTGTTGCGATATAGTTTTTTTTTTTTGAGACAGTAAGAGTCTCATAATTTTAATATAATTCTGTTTTGTTTTCTAATCCGATTTGTATTTCATCATTTTTTTTAAAAAAAAATGCAAATAGATGATAATGTGTATCCATATTCTATTGGGATGTGATTTGTTACATGCGACTAGAATATTTGGTAGACTATAAAATGATCACCGGTTGGCATTGAGAATTGTCATTGTTCGAAAATCTCAGGTATTTCTCATGATTTTCTTTTGGTTGACATCTTTTTTATATTTATTCAAATATATTTTTGTTTGTTCATTAGAATCACATTAAACTTTTACGATTGCAAGAGTTTACAATGGATTTGGAATTCATCTCTGTGGTTTCAGAAGATGTTGCTACTAATGGTCTGGTAATTTTTTAATATCTATTTGGTTTTTTTGTTTTGGTCTTTTTTCGTAATTTAAATTAATAATTCGTAACTTTTGCTGCTATTGTTGTTATGAATGATTGTTGCAGAAAATTTCCAGTCGATTGTCGTCATTGTTTAGGGGAGGAAATCCCCGAGGTTATGTTTACCTTCAAACTGATTTTGGTGATTTTTATGTAAATTTCCAGTCGATTGCCGTCATTATTTTGGGGAGGAAATCCCCGAGGTTATGTTTACCTTCGCACTGATTTTGGTGATTTTTATGTAAAACTCCACATCACACGTAAAGGTTGTGGACAACTTTGTTGTGCTAGATTTTTGGATTTCATTCGAAGCATTGGGTTGGTTCCAGGATGGAAGTTTCATATCATAGTAGTTGAGGACTACATACTGAAGTTTATCACTTATGATACATGTGGAATTCAAAATTTCGATTATAGCCGTCAACCTATATTGCAAGGAGGCGTGCGATATTGTCTTTAAATAGACAAGGGCTCTTATGATACTGCAGTTTTTTTTTTTTTTTTTTTTTTTTTGCAGTTGATATTACAGAATAATTATTTGTATGACTCATTCGATTAATGTCTCATATATTTTTTTTTATTGCAGTTGATATCAAAAACTTTTTGGTCGTATTTTATGTTTACAAGACCTCATGATCGTTTTATAGTGGATGATGGTGAGGTGATATGGTATTTTGATTTGGCAATTAATTCTGGTGAGATTGTTGGTTTCTGTGCAACGCAATGGCAAACTTTTTATAGATCTTGGGATATTAATGTCGGATATCATGTTGTGTTTTCTTTGACTGGTGATAAATCCTTCCGTGCTACAATTTTTGATCTTTCTGGATTCTCAGTGCAGAGCTCTCATGTATCTTCCGATATGTCCGATGGTTAGTAGTAATTTCGAGCATTGAATTTTTATATCATTATATATATATATATATATATATTTTCTCATAATAGTTTATATTGGCAGGTAATGATGATGAACCTTTCTCAATGTTTCCTTATGTTCGTGATAATTTTTTTTCATTATCACCTTGATGAACAAGTTATCATCACCGGTAAAATGGTAAGTAGTTTGGATTACTTTTTCTTTTTCTTTTAAATTGTGAAATTTAACTTTTCTTCATTTGATTGCATGCTCTTTTTTCTTTTTTCCTGTTAAATATTTAGTGTGCAATGTTTGACTCCGTTATGTGTTTTGTTTATTTTTCAATAGCCAATCCCAACTTACCTGGTTGTTCGGCATGGTTTAATGGAGAAATCAAAAGTTGTCCTGGTTTATGATGGATATCCAAATACATTTAATACTTTAACATGGTGATTTTGAAGTATACTACAATGATAAGGTTGTTCGTGCAGTTAATATTCGCGGCAATTGGTTTGGGTTTTTCAAGAAAACTAACATAAACATTGGCGAGAGGCTTACAATATGGATTGGAAGCAAATTATATGAAGATTCTTCAGTTTTATTACTCTTTGTAAAGCAATTCAATCGATTTGACATCTTGATTGAGATTGTCTAGAATTTGGTTTTATATATGTTTTGCATCAATAAGATTGTTATTGGTTTAACTTAGTTCTGGTTTGTAATTTTTATATTATTCACCTATTTTGAGTTTTTTTACATCGATGAATTTATTGTTTTGGTAATAAAAGCGAATTTTCATCTTCTTTCAAGATCATCAATGTTTTGTATGTTTCATAGCATTCTTGGATTTTAGTAGAAAAATTAATTGATTTTTTATTTTTTATGTTTATTAATAATAGACTATCACAAAACCTTTGAGTGATCGTTTCTTCGAACCAATTACCAATGTTCTTAAGATTCGAACGGCAGTTGGACAATTCAATGTGGAGATTTCTGTTGTTGAAGACGGAAAGTTTGTTATGAGTGGAGATAAATTTATGGATTTTGTAATTCATACAGGTATTTCACTAGGATGTTGGTTGCATCTGGAATTTTTTGATAATCACGTTGTTTATGCAACAAGTTTCGGTGGTCATGGTTTCCAGAATGAGTTATTGCAAATTTGGATTTTTTTAAAAATGTTTAAGTGGGTATATCTCATAATGGATTTAATCACGGCGACATTTTTTTGACATAAAAAATTTAAGCTGAGAAAATATTATTTTTTTTTACTCTTAAATTGAAGTTGAGAGTAAAGTATTGTTTTTTTAAAAAAAAAAAGAAAAAAATTTTTCTTTATGAATATGTTACAATTTTTATAATTTTAGTTGTCTGCTTCAAGTAACCTTTCAGAAAGTAATAAACTCGCCCGAAACTCAAGTTGTGTATGTCGTTTGTGATGGTTCTACACTACACTTTGAATGGCATCATGATCAAGGGATTTTTGGGTTACGTGGAAAATGTTGGATTGATTTTGTAAAATATTATGAACTTCATACTGGAAAATGTATTCTGATGCTTACATATTTGGGTGGATGCTTTTTTAAGGGAACTATATTTAATGCAAATGGTTTTTAGGTTTAAATTCTCGACCAAATTTCTGATTCCGGAGGTAGTTAATAATTTTGAATTTTTCTTATAAAACTATAGTTTCGTTGGATGTTTTTAATTTGTTTTTAAATATATCTTAACGTAATTATTATTGTGTTATTTTATTATCAGATGAAGTGGTGATTTCTCATTGATGATGAAGATTAACAATCAAGTTTTGATAAATGATGGAATTCGGTTCTTTTTGTGTTTTAAAGGAATCATCCATTGGTGTTTGAATTTCAGAATCTCTATTTGAATATGTAAAATTGAATTTTATGTAATTCTGTTTTTCTTTTTTTTTTTATCATTTCTTCCGTATATCGTATTTACTAGTAATAATTTTAATTTAGCTATGTTGTTTTTTTTTGCTTTCATATTGTTGTATTTCTAGCTGGGTTTAGGATATACGGGGATTTCATTTATAATATATTTATTTGAAACATTGTGTTGTGCTTTGTTACTTAGAAAGGTAATTTCAGATAAATGTAATAGAATATACCCTTGAAAAAAATCTAATGGACTACAGATGAATGTTTCACATTATTTTTTGGAAATTAAGGTTACACCAAAGTATTGCATTCTTAATTTTGTAAATTAAGATAACTTATTTTTTCTCAAATCGAATGCAATTATTTAATACTTTTAGTACGACTTTTATATCGAATAAATCTTAAGTATCCAAAAACCATTCGTATTCTTTTTATATTTTATTCAAAAATTTTAATTTTTTATTTATCATTCTCTTCATTGATTAATTGAATATTTAATAAATTATTTGAATTCATTTTTGGATATATATACTTATCGAAATAATATTAATTTTATTTAAATTTAAATATTGCTCTTATTTTTTTTATTTTTATTGATTTTAACATAATTTTATCTTTTCTAAGAGAACGAAAAGAGTTCTCCGGCGTATGAATGTATAATGAATGATAATATTCATTTGTGGATATTTAAAATTTAAAATAGTTCGTGGTTGATAATTTTATAAATTTGTTTTTTAAATAGAGACTCTTTGATTTCAAATCCACATGTACGATAGTTACATTGATATCTTGAATATCAGATTTATAGGTATTAATTGTCAAATTAAAGAAAGATAAAACGAAATTTCTATAATAAGGATTATTTTTTTCACCCTAATGGGATTTTAAAAGAATTTATTTTGAAATTCATTAGATAAAGTTTTGTGTAATTATAAAATTTCAAATTAGTTTTATTTATACGATAAGATAACAGAATTTGAATTTTTTAAGTAAAAAAATTTCACTCCTAAGTTATGAATACTCTATACTTATTGTATTATAAATATATGTGTTGATTGTAAGTTGAATCTCACAGCCAAACTTTCTTTAATACTTTTTATCAAAAAAAAGGAAGATACTAATGGCTTCAAGTTATGACATGCTGGATGAACGTGATTCGCGTGGAATTGGATCGAATGTCGAGGTTCGAGTTTTGAGAGCTTGGAGGAAGATGGAATTCAACAATCCAAGTGAACCTTACATGGTGGAGTGCATCTTGCTGGATGAAAAGGTATTATGTAACATGTAATTAGTTTATTTAGTTAAATTACTTTTATTTTATTGTATATACGGAAAAAACCAAGTATTTAATATTTTGGTTTTTTTTTTTTTGTTTAGGGTAATAGAGCAGTGGCTCAAATTAAGAAGGAACTTATTTATAAGTTCAAAAGAGGACTGAAAGAAGGTGAACACAAACAAATAAGAAATTTCGGCACCGCTATTGATAAAGATTTCCATCGATTCTGCAACAGTGAATACAAGTTGATATTCAAACGCAATACAAGTAGTGTTTGACGTCGAGGAATTTATGACTGATCCAGTTGGAGGGAAATATGGTTTTCTTTTTGCAAAGTTCTCTGACATTATTGAAGCCAAATTGGATGAAGGCTCTTTAATTGGTACTTTTAATTCAATTATGTAGTGTTTATTTGTTTAAATCGTGTATTATTAAAGTTTTTTTTGGTATTATTTACAGATGTTATTGTTGAGATATGCAATGTTAGTAAGAAGCAAACGGTGAATATCAAAGGAGTCGATAAAGATTTTGTGGATGTGAGCTGCGAGATTTAGAGTATCTTTCTTAAAATTAATTATTAAATATTATTTTCATCTTGAGCTTATCGTTTATCTTTGTGTGAAATAACCAAGTTGAGTATTATATGTGCAGTGGAATTTCTATCATTTGTACTTTGTGGAGTGAGCATGCCTATTTTATGTTAGATGCTCATGCCCGAAATGAATCGGCTGGCAAAGTTGCTACAATCATGCATGTCAAAATTGGAGAATTTCAGGGTTATAATATCTTTTCTTTTAATTTTTTAATTTATTTTTACAATTGAATTTTGGTTTATGAATAACGTTTTTCTTTTTTCAGGCAAGAATAAAATTTGTAATAACTATTCCAGAACAAGAATATGGATTGACGATGAAACTATTGATGAAATTCGTGATTTCAAAGAAAAGTAAATATTTCATCTTATGTACCTTATATATATATATATTATTTTGTTAATATATGTGTTTTGTTATTTTTTTAAAATATTATTTTAATTTTTTCAACATTGATTTTTAAATATTTATAGGCTGTTTAAAAATGATGGATTTGATTCTTCTGGAAAGATATCAACACTATCTGTCACAACCTCTTCTTTTGATCCTGAGGATATCCTAAATGTGAAAGAAAGGATATAGGTGATATTAAGTTTGTAATCAAGGTACGTAAATATTTTTCTAATTTGCATGTTATGTTATATTTGTTTTTCAAAAATATACATATATATATATATATATATTTATTCAATTTGTTAAATAACTTTTGGTGCAGCCCGTCTGTGATTTGGTTTGCAAGGCCAAAATTGTTGAAATCGATGGTACCATAGGATGGAACTATCTTGGTTGTCCTAGGTGCCACAAAAAAGTGCAAGAATTTCCTTTATCTAAGATCAAAGTTGAGGATGAAACAAATGATTTTAAGAAGGATGAGAATAATGCTCGCTCAGTTTACTACCGTTGTGTCGATGTATGCGGCAAAATTGTGCCAAATGTTACTCCAAGGTAAAAAATTTAAACAATCACTAATTTGAAGTGCTTACTTTTTTTTTTTTTTTTTTAACAATGCTATCTTTTTAAATAAAGGTACAAAGTGTTTGTTACACTTAAGGATCAAACAAACAAGCATCCTTTTGTGTTTTTTGATCGTGATGTGGAGAACATCGTGAAGATTTCTTGCAGAGATCTAATGGAGACGATGTTTGAGGTATATTTATAGTTTATCACTCAATAGTTTTGATTGTTAAACAATTTTTTTGTTAGTTTATACATTATATTTTTATTTTGTATAAATATTAGCAGAAACTTGAAGATGATGAAGTTCCTCAGCAATTGTATCAGTTGGTGGGGAAGACATGATTGTTTAAATTTGATGTCATGGCTAAGAACCTTGGCAAAGAACGATATACATTGGGAATAAGACACGTGGAAAATGATTCTGATATAATTAAATGTTTCTTTAATGCTCCAATATTTGTTCCGGTACTACATATTTTTTTCGACTCTCACCTTTATATAACACTATTCTCAATGTCCTTTTCTTACACTTCTTATTATTCTGATAAAGGATGATGATTATGAAATTGGTTCGAATGATGAAGGATTCTTGGGTTCTCAATCTATTGAATCAAATATGCTTAAGGTACAATTATAGAGTGTTTGCAACTGTATCTATTGTTTTGTTCATTTAGTGTTATTCAGTATTTTTAATACTATATTTATTTATTTTTAGAATTGTCATTCTTCAACCTCCAGTGGGGAGGTTTACTTAGAAGACATGGAGAAAAGCGTTGACAATACAAAGAAAAAAAGAAAATTGGATTCTTCACCGTTGGTTATGTCTTCCCCCAACTTTACTATTGTTTCACCATCTGAAGAAGATAGCAATGATATGGAGTGAGACATATTTCCGATATTCAATTTGGAATGATTTTCTAAGAATAAATATTTGATTTGTTTCCTTTTTTCTCTTATTACATTTCAATAAAACAATGTTATTACTTTTTTTTTTAATAACTTCTGTGCACAACAGTATAGATTATCTATTGTATGTTTTGAATAAATTATTCATGTAGTTTCTACCTTTATGTTTATCGGAGTTTTTCCCGGAATGTAATGAGATAATAAGAATTTTTTTTAATATTTTATTTTGTATTTGAAGTTTGTTAATATTTTATTCAGAATATTATTTTAGATAGTTTTTTTAGATAGTACTTTTTTTAAGTTAATATGTTTATTACGAACAACAACTGCATTTAATGAAAAATTAATTTATTCTAAAAAAGAGGGTAATATAAATCCTTCACTTATTTAAAAATTATTAAAGGTGTTATCTTATAATATCCAAAAGATGGAATTCTCTTTCCTTTGTTTTTTGAGGTTATTCTTTATAATTTTTTGATTATATTTGGACATATATTCCCAGTTGATGAAATGTTTTTCATGTTTTGTTTTCCATTTTTTTGTATATTCTTTTATTCTCATTTTATTTATATGGACTTTGTTTCTAATATTATTTTGTTATATATGTGAATTGCATTTATAAAAATACTTATCAATTTAAATGAATCAAGTACTTCTGTTTTACATGGACGATTTGATATGCACATAAAAAATATTAACTAATAAATTTTTAAGCAATATAAAATAAGATTATTTTAAAGCCAATAAAAGTTCAAACATAACAAGAATGTTATTTATCCTATTGAATAAATTACTTATTACAAGTAATTCAAAAAACAATTTATAGCTAGACTCCTATGGCAATTTTTCTCGGACATTGATGTAATAATGTGTACTTCTCCATTATTCAATACATATTTTGTTAACAAAATTTATCTTTATTGCCACGAAATCATGTGTTTTTTTGATCTTTTTAAATATCATGATATTTAAGGTAAATAATATATAAATTTTAAATTACATAATGTTTATCTTTATTGCCACTAAATCATGTGTTTTTTTGTATCGGTATCATATTTGGAGAAATCATATTTTACAATAAAAAGATTTATTAATAAAGAGATAATTTATGTTACAAATATTATCTCAATTGTTTGAATGAATCAGTTTTCATTATCATAATATATTCAGTAATTATCTCCTTCTCAAAGTAAATCTGTTCGTTTTTTTAATCGTTTTGAAGAATATTTTTGTTATAAAATGAGTCTATTACTTAATATTAGGAAAGATATGATTGTTAACTAATTTGATGTTTTAAAATTCAAAACATTAATGAAGATAACATATACTACTAATATTTCAACTATTTATTGAACGAAACGAGTTAACTTTATTTGTTCAGCTTTCTTTTAAACATATGTGTTTTCGGTTCTTAAAAATGAGTGTTTATAGTCAGATTATAACCCTTCTAAGGTCATATCAGGAAACTGGATTGGTAAGATTTTTTTATTATTATTTTTTAGCAAGTAATTCATGTGATCTCTTTATAGTTACTTTCTTTTCTCATTTTTTTTTTTTGGTTTTGATGTTAGCTTTTGGGTACTGGTTTCGCCAAGCAGTTGGAAAAAAAACATCTTCATAAACAGTTGATCGTAAACTCTTCTGATGACAAAAGCCACTTTATAGATAAGTACATCAACGACGGCGATCGTACCAACCTTTACGGACCGACTCATGATAATTTTATTGAAGTTTCTGAAATTTTTCTCCACCACACTTTACTGTTGGTTTATCATCCAGATGGTTATTTGAAGATATTCCGTTTTGGTCCTTCTGGTGTTGAACGCGGTAGATCTAAATCCGAATCCTTAATGGGTGGTCGTTTTCTTTTGGAAATGAATCAGGAGAACCTAAAGTTTGGCATAAGTAATTCATTTTGATTATTTTTTGCAAATATTTTTGTTCGTTTTGGAATCTTACAGAATTTTTGAATTTCTTTATATAACATTATTCGTTCTATTTTTCGTATTAATATTAAAATATTTTAGTTATATAAAAAAATTTTCTTGAACAGAAGTCAAAGTATTCTATATATAGATTTTTAAATATTGCAGTTAACTATATTTTATCATATTATTTGTTTATTTCGAAACCATTTAATGTGTTAATAACGAATTTATTTACAGCATATCCGGGAGCATTATCTCGATCGCTGCCATTGGCCTAAGAATGAAGAAGTGGCGATTGTCTCCGACGATGAAGATCAGGTTTATTTTTTTCCAGATTGTTCGAATTAAAGGGGGAAGCAGTTGGGTTATCGGGAAAATCTTGGAAAAGTTCACGAATTGCTACTATAATGAGTATGGTTGCAAGTTTTTGGTATTTAATCATCGATTCGGTGTTGAATTCTATGTGAAAGGTTTTGATAAGTTTGGTATTCAGTGGCAAAGGTCTTACGCAATAAGGGATTTGGAAAAAGGTTAAATTTATATTTGATTTTTTTTCATTTGTATAATGTGTGAAAATTTTGTGGCTTTTTATAATTATTATTTGGCTCTTACATTTCAGGTAAAAATGCTGTGAGATCTCTTAGTAATAGGAATACTCCTGATTATGATATTTTTCAATGTATAATGAATGATGATGTGCTTGAATTAGGAGGTGGAAAAATCATGGTGAGTAATATATTTATAATATAATTTTTATTATTTCATTTTATATAGTTTTCCATTTTTCACAAGGTACTTATATCATCCATTTTTGATTTAATTTTGTATTTTGATTTTTTTCGACAGATTCCTTATGAAATGATCGAAAGGTTCTCACTTAATGAATGTGAAAGTGCTATATTATACTTTGATGGAGCCCCAAGTTTAGTATTGTTTTGTCATAAGACTACGGATAATAAATTCATAGCCGAAAGAGATCTAATTAGATTTTCGGCAGAGAAGAATATTCCAAAGGGCATGAAAATGATTTTCCAAGTCAACGTAGAGAGATCAATAGACGAAGGAATGATCATTATTAATGTTATATGATATAACGGTTTTATTATCATTAAATAATTGTCATTTTGACATATTTTATTCTTTTGTCATATAATAAATTAGTTTTTTTTTTGGATTTCTAGAAGTGGCTTTCTATTTTGTGACCACCCAATATGTATTTTGTTTTTTTTGCTTTCAATTTTGAATAATTTTATTTTTGTTATGGATGCCAATTTATGTTTATTTTACTTATTTACTGTTTGTTTGATTTCTATCTACAACCAATTTTATTATAATGTTGGTATCATATGTAAAAACTAATTAAACAATAATTAAAAGAATATAATTTTTTTTATTTTTTAATACAAATTTAGATAAATATATAAGTTGAATTAATTATCTCACTTCTTAAATATCTTCTAATGGAAATAAAATACTCCATGACCCTAAACATTAAACCCTAAACCCTAAATTGTATTCCTATTAATTTGATAAAAAAATTAATGTATAAAAAAAATTTAAGATAATTGTATCAAGATAATTGATAAAATAAACGAGAATTAACACGTTCAAATTTTTTAATTCGTGGAATTCAAGATTGGTATAACAGTTGGAGTAATTATCTTAAATTTTTTTAAGATAATTATATCATGAATAATATTCTCTATTATCTTAAACGTGTAGTTGATATGTTTTTTCTTTTATAAAAGTTTATATTAAACCACAATTCGAATTTGTATAGGACTTGATCCTTTTAATATTACATTTATATGTGTCCTTAACCTTTCATTCTTTCACGAATTCAACAACTCTTTTTTGTTTCCATATTTCGAAAACAATACTTACATTGTTTTTTATTTTCCTTCATATTTTTATTGTTAATTTCGCTTCTTTCAAATTTTGTTGTTTGCAAGGCTCTTCGTTAATGACGATATATTATGTTCTCAGTACTGATCGGAAAATTGTATCTGATACATTTTCTGAATCCAATAAATTAATTACTCAAGGAATTAATAGGATTGGTCAGACACCACATGATTTGATTTATAGTTTCATGAGGAGACTAGATGCATTCAGTTTTGCCAGATGCCGTGGTGTCGACCCTGTCTGAAAAAAATTGATTGATGATAGAGTTCTTCAGATGTGTGTCCGAGAGTTTCACGCACTAAACAATGATGAAGTTGTTGTTTTTGGATGCAAGTATATCAGACGTAACAATCAACCCCATCCAATCACTTTTGTAGGTGTTAATCGAATTGATGGTCAGGTTTATGGCTTCTCAACGGATGAAGTGTTGACTGTGGATGAATATGGAGTTCACTCTATGCTTCCAATAACTACAGATTTGATATGTATGCAAACCGGGTACACTATCAAACTTCTAAATCCGACATCTGGTCAGATAATACATTTCCCACCTCCTCATTTTCCATTGTTGCCATCGAATTTATCATCTTTTGAAGTAGCATTTGGTTTATATAGAAAATCAAATGAAGACGTTTTAATGTGTTTACAACCATGGAGAAATCAAATGATTGGTAAAATATTTTCATGGTTTGTTGATCAAGGGTTGACACATTCTGCTATAAACTGGAGTTATATGATTGAAAATTGTCCAACAATTGTTGACAAAGGTTTGGTATTTGAACAACATGTTGTTTGGAGAATCAGAAGGTTTTGTAAGTTGTCATATATACATGATCTTCCTTCCGATTTGCTTGTGGCGTACGATCTTTCGAGGAAAACCCACTCAATCATACGACATCCTTTTAAAGCAGATTGGCTTCGGTGTCCTAATAGCTCGAACCAACATATTGAGTTGTTGGATTTAAGGGGGAAGATTTGTGTGTAAAATCTTGAGTACATCAAGTATATGTATATGTTTGAAATATGGAGTTGCAATCAAGATGATTGTGGTAATTGGAATAGGAATCCTGAACACAACATTAAGATTGATGTTATTATAGGTTTGCCTTCTGCTCGATTTACTGAATTGTATTTCCATACATGGGGCAAGCCATTGTTTCTATGTCCAAAATCATCTGACAAAGGAGAATTTCTGGTCACTTCAAAACGGGCGAGTGAGTACATAATTTACAATCCCGAAACAAACAAGTTCAAGCAGATGAAAAAGCTTCCTCGATTATCAATGATGTATGAATTGGCCGTGGGATTCTGGTGGCCGCATTTTCTTAAGATTTAATTCTTATATATAATTTTATTTTTTAATTTTTTTCCTAAGATTTCTTGTGGAGATTGGAAACTATAATTTTGTTATTTTTTTTCAATAAAGACTTGATGAAGTTACATATTTTGTTAATTTGTCTAGCAGTATTGTTTTAATTTAAATTAAATTACATTATTTGTATTTTAGTTATTGGTGGTAAACAAATAAATCTGTTATTTCGAATGATAAAATGATGTTACATTCTAAATAAACTCCTATTTAAATTAGCTTAATTTTAACGTGTATTAAATGTATTTGATATGGTAAACTCCTTTTTTATGGATTTGATATTGATATGATAAAAGTAGTTTTTTTTAGTTATTTTAATGTGGCAATATCTTTAAATCAGTTACGTGAGTTGTTTAAAAAATAATAAAATATTAAATGCAATAAAATGTAAAATATGAGGCAACAATCGTATATAGATATATGAGTAGAATTTTTATTAAAAAATATATTTTTAAAATTATTTTTTGATTCGAAATTTAAATTTTCAAGTTACTTAATATCTTCGTCCAACCTTATCTTCGTCTAACTTTAAATCTTATTTTTGTTTGGCAACATATGTTAAACTGAATTTTTTATTCAATTATATTTTTATCTTTAATTTTGATAATTTAAATTCTATGATATTAGTTATCATTATTTTTTTTTTATTATTTTGAAAAGTCTTAGGTTTAAATTCCGTTAAATTGCTGCATCTTTTAAATATTTTTAAAAAATTGAATGGATTTTATCATGACTATCTAAATCTAGATCACAATCAACATTGATTTCGGCTGGCTATTATAAATATGATCATTGTTTCGTTTTAAATTTACCAATTTATATGAGTTTTTTGATACTTTATAATTTGTTTTACCAAAGAATCACATTCAGTTTCATGAATCTTTTTTCCAAATTCATCAATGAAGAAGCAATTTGATGAAAAAACGCGAACAAAAGCAGGTTCACTTTCCAGAACCAGAATAGATGCTCAAAATGTTGTGCTGGTTAATGCTCGAGATGCAACGGATAGCTCTGCTATGTCCTCGAGAGATAGGCGTGGGATCTTCAACAAAACGTCCAATTCAGAGATTTCCGGCATCATATCTCCAACAAAAACTAATGACTGGAAAATTGACTCTATTAGTTAAATTTCTAACATCAACGATGGTTAGAACTTCTCCTTTATGATTATGTATAATTTTTATTTTCGGTATATTAACTTTGTTTAACGTGCATGTTTTTCTATTTTTTTGTAGTTTTAGTAAATAATAAATAATTTTTAATGAACGTATATGCATTACTAATAATAATCACTTGAATATAGTTTTTATATTCTTTGAATTTTTTTTCTTAATTTTACGTTTTCATAATTTCATTTATAATGTGTTTTTTTTATAATTTTTAACGAAAACTTTTAGTTACATTTTCTATATGGTTGAATTATTTGTTTTGTTTTTTTTTGTTAATTACTTTTTGTTTTTTTCTTTGTTTCATTTGTTTATGGTATTTTTATGTTTTAAAAATTGCTTTCGAAGAAGTCTAATTATTGTTAAATGTTTCTTGTGTTCAATCTCAACTACCTATACAAGAAAACTCGGACGTTTACAATTGTACAAATATTCAACATCCAGTGAACACATCAAACGAAGCAAGAAAAAGAAGAATGTTGATCATGAAAAGTAAAAAAGTCAGTGAAGATGCTTTAGTAGAAGTAAATATTTGTGAAACTCTTTCTGTAATCCAATCTTCTGGTGAGTGTTTTATAATTATAAAATGTTTATCTATTTCCAATTACCTCATTTATTTAGTATCAATGTTATTTTGTACTTTATTTTCTTTAGTTGATCTTAATTATTCACTTTTTTGTTTACTTTGATTTACAGTCAGAAGCTCAAAGAATTTCATTGCTGAAGAAGAAAAGAATAATTTTTCGGAGATCATGCTTAGTATTATATTATTTCAAGAATTTATGTATAATGCTATTAATTTTATTGTTTAAAAAAATGTTTTTTTAATCGTTTAAGTTTTGATTTATTTCACTATCAGATGTTAATTAAATTATAAATCATTTCTAAATATAGGTAATCAAATTTTTTTGCAATATTGGTTATTTATCTATGAAGGGTAATTTTTTTGTACTTTTCAGAATATTTTATACTTTAATAATTCTGAATTATTGTGTTTGCTAATTAGCATCTAAGTCTTCTGTATCAACAATAAACCCCACTCAAGAATCTAAAATTGAGAGGACCTATCAAAAGGTTCGTAAAGCTGCTGAAGCAAGGCGGAGACGTAAATCGTAGCTGGAAAATAAAAGAGTATGTCTCTTAACATAGAACAAATATATATATCAAAGTTTGATCTATTATATTACTAAAACAAATTAATGATTATTTAATTTACTTTTATTGCAGACAAATAGTCATACTCAAAATCTTCGACTCAAAATCTTTAACGTGAAAAGACATTATTTGAAGTACCCATACAAGATTCAACTTCGGCAAACAATTCTTATGGTAAGAATTTTGATTTTATTAATGTAATTATCTGTGTAATTTTTTTTCGTTAGAAAATGTACTTTTTTTTTAATCTTTTTTGTTGTATTATTCATAAAATGATGATGTAATTGTAGATTTGTTCTTTTCAAAAATCATAGGAACATACAGTAAGAGTATGCTTTTAATCAACAATCACATTAAAAAGAAAATATCCACAGTTTCTAAGGGTAAAGAAAAAATACATGATTTATCACAAAGACACTCACGTCAAGGTATTGTTATATACGTATTTGAAATTGTTTTGTTCATAATTATTATTTATTTTTTGTTTATTTTGAAAATAAAATCTGATATACCTTTGTATGTATGAAAAAAATTAAAATTATTAGAGAGTGAAGACATACTTACTGATGATGAAGACGATCGATATGATGTGGATGGAGTTAGTGAAGGTAATATGTTAATTAATGCTTATTTTGTTACATTAATTAGTGATATATTTTCCGTATTATCTTATTGCTAAAATTATCATAAACAGAATATATTGATATTGGGGATCCGTCGTATGCATGTGAATATTGTGGAGCAAATATGTGGTTGGATGAGAGAATGCCAAAGAATGCTCCCAAAAAAGAGACTCCTAAATTCTCTTTGTGTTGTATGAAAGGAAAAGTCAAACTACCTCTTATGCAGGATCCTTCAAAATTGATTTGTGATTTATTAACTAACAATGATGCATGGAGCAGGAAATTTAGGGATCAAATTAGGGCTTATAATATGATGTTCGCTTTTACATCAATGGGTGGAAAAGTGGATAAATCAGTTAACAGAGGTCGTGGACCGTATGCATTTCGATTGTGTGGTACGAACTATCATCGGATTGGTAGTCTACTACATGTTCCAGGTGAAGATGCAAAATTTTCTCAACTCTACATTTATGACACTGCAAATGAAGTATCGAACAGGATCAATTCTTTGAGGTATATTATATATTTTTTTGTGCATTTTTTTTATGCGTAAACTATTATTTATTAATTGGATGTACATTTGATGCAGTACTGATTCCTAACAAGTTTGATCCTGAGCTAATTGAACAATTAGCAAAAATATTAGATAGTCACAATCATTTGGCCAGAGTTTATAGAATGGCAAGAGATCGTTTTGCGAATGACAAGGATGCTAATATAAAAGTGAAAATCATTGGTGAACGAATGAGAGATGGCAGACAATACAACTTGCCAAATGCGCATGAAGTTGATGCGATTATAGTTGGTGATGTTGACGAACCAAATAAACAACATGATGTTATGATTGAAAAACAAAATGGCGAGCTTCAGCGCATATATGAGTTACATGCTCAATACCTTCCTTTACAGTATCCTACCTTATGGAGAAGATGGGTTCCGGCTTGCTATTCTATACAACGTGAAAAGTTTGTTTATGTAGATGTTGAGTCGGATGACGAACTTGGCGATGAAGATGTAATTGATCAGGGACCAGGTAAACCAAAAAACGACGTGTACATTTAACTATAAAAGAGTGGTTTGCTTTCAGGATTCAAGAAAGGCTTCAGGAAGTTCACATTTATTGTATGGAAGAAAACTTCTACACCAATTTTTATTTGATGCGTATACGGTGATTGAAGCCCAGAGATTAAGTTTCATAGCAAAAACTCAATCTAAACTGAGAAGTTCAAACTACAACAAGATACAGTTGGCAGCTGATGCTGGGAACAAAGATACTACTAAACTCGAAAATCATACCGTTCTACCTTCATCATTCACCGGAAGGCCTAGGTATTTTTTTTAGTTTAATTTTTTTTGTTATATTTTAGATATTTAATTACATATTCAAATTATTTAATTTTATATTAAACAACGTAGAACTGTATGATTCAAATATTTCTTAAATTATAATATGTCAGGTACATGGAACAAAATTACATGGATGCTATGGCCATATGTAATGATTTTGGATATCCGAATCTTTTTATAACTTTCACTTGCAATTCTAAATGGCCGAAAATTATTAGATATTTTCAAAAAAGGGGGGGCTAAGACCAGAACACAGACCAGATATCATAACCAGAGTGTTCAACATAAAACTTGATCGTTTTATTAAAGAAGTCAAGTCTTCCGA